ATCATTAGGATAATCGCAACTTTTGTAATGCTTGACACGTAGGTTTCAACCTGCAGTATGTGTTCTATTAAATATGTTGATTCATCACTGATTCACTGTACTACAACTTATTGTTTTCTTTTCCGCACTTGATGAACACTATCATGTTCTAATCATTTGATAGGTTGAATTGGTTGAGATTGTATACATGCAGGCCCTCATTCGCTGTAAATGAGCTTATAGAAAATATGCCATAATTATTATAAAGTGTGCATTAATGGAAGAACTTAATTATCCTTTCCTTCCCTGAAAAATAATTCATTTTATTTTGTCTCATATATTCCAAATAAAACAATACATGTGATACATACATTATCTTTCTACTTCAGTACAGACACAACTAAACCTAATTCATTATTATTAGGATAGAATATCATGAAATTTACTTTGAAAACACAGCAAATGATTCAGTTAATTTATACATTTTATGTTTATTATTTTTTTTTAAAAAAAATTACACTTTTCCTCCATTTCAATAATCTATTTCATGAAAATATTTACAGAAAATTATTAAAACGAAACAAGAGAAATACATAATTATTTTGTCTAGAGATAAATATGATTAGACTAAAATGTCCAAATGGTCCCTTACATTTGGGCCTACTTGAATTTACGTCCCTTACATTAACATTTGAATATCGTAGTCCCAAACATTATGTTTTCACTTTTTTTGTCCCATTTCACTGTTTCCGGCCGTTGACATGCCGGAATTAGGGGTATTTTTGTCTTTTAATTTAATTTAAATTTTTATTAAAATTTAAATCATTAAAAATATTTTAAAATTCCAATTGTATTATTTAATTGTTAAAATATTATTTATTAATTAAAAATATTATTGTATAAAATTTATCATTATTTTTAAAATTACTTTTTTATTTACTATTTACTTTAAGTACACAGTAAATAGTAATTATATTGCACTTTTAACTTTGAGTCCAATGTAACTTAAAAAATTAACCAAATTGCAGTAAATAATCAAAATTCAATTATTATTTTTAAAAAAAAGAAAAATAAAAAGCAAAACTAAGATTTTTTTTACTCTGACCGCTACAGTAAAAACAAAATGGTAATTATATTAAACTTTTAACCTTGTACCCACTGAAACTTAAAAAATATACCGAGTTACAATAAATAATTCAAATTTTTTTAAAAAAAGAAAATCAAAACCAAGATTTTTTTTACTTTGACCGCTACAGTAAACCCTAAATGGTAATTATAATATACTTTTAACCTTGGACTCACTGCGACTTAAAAAATTTACCGAGTTACAGTAAATAATTCAAAATTTAATTTTTTTTAAAAAAAAAAGAAAAGGCAAAACCACGATTTTTTTTACTCTGACCGCTATAGTAAACCCTAAATGGTAATTATGTTACACTTTTAACCTTGGACCCACTGTAACTTAAAAAATTTACCGAGTTACAGTAAATAATTCAAAATTCAATTTTTTTTTTCAAAAAAAAAAAGGAAAAACCAAAAATTTCTTTACTCTGACCGCTACGTTGCTTTTTTAACATTGGACCTACAATAACTTAAAAAATTTATCGAGTTACAGTAAATAATTCAAAATTTAATTTTTTTTTTTAAAAAAAAAAGCAAAACAAAGTAATTGACCGCTACAGTAAACCCTTATGTTGCACTTTTAACCTTCGACCCAATGTAACTTAAAAAATTTAACGAGTTACAGTAAATAATTCAAAATTTAACTGTAGCAGTCAAAGTAAAAAGAAATCTTGGTTTTGCTTTTTCTTTTTTTTTAAAAAAAAAGAATTTTGATTATTTACTGTAACTTGGTAAATTTTTTAAGTTATAGAGGGTCCAAGGTTAAAAGTGCAACATAATTATTATTTAGGGTTTACTATAGCGGTCAGAGTAAAAAAAAAATGGTTTGGCTTTTTCTTTTCTTTTTTTTTTTTGAAAAAAAATGAATTTTGAATTATTTACTTTAACTCGGTAAATTTTTTAAGTTACAGTGGGTCCAAGGTTAAAATTGTAATATAATTACTATTTACTTTGACCTAAGATAAATGATAAATGAAAAAATTAATTTTGGAAATAATGTAAATTTTAAAATTTTATAATAATATTTTTAATTAATGAATAATATTTTAACAATTAAATAATGAAATCTGAATTTTACAATATTTTTAATGATTTATATTTTAATAAAAATTTAAATTAAATTAAAAGACAAAAATACTCTTGATTCCGGTATGTCAACAGCCGGAAATAGTGAAATGAGACCAAAAAAGTGTGAAAACATAATGTTTGGGACTGCGATATTGAAATATTAATGTAAGGGACGTAAATTCAAGTAGGTTCAAATGTAAGGGTCCATTTGGACATTTTAGTCATATGATTATTATGAGTTCGACGTAGTGATAAGAGGTAATTATCGTTCCCACTAACTCAATAATGCAGAAGTAGATCTTATCTGCAGGTTAAGAAGAGCCAATTTCAAAGTATGCCCACTGACGAAATTAATACTCTGTTGAAATTGAAGCAGCAATGTCACCTAATCTACAAATTAGAAAATCTTATACTAATAATACAAAAACCGGTGAACCATTAATTGTTGCCAAACCTGCGATATCGACGCATTTCAGACAGTCACAATCATCTCCGATTTTACAAGTCATGAAAACGCTTGTTGATGATACTTAGAGAGATGCCAAAAATCTCAAAGATTAAATGAAATATTTAAATCATTTTTTGGTGCAATCATACATTGGAGTGATGTTTACGTGGGCTTCCGTCTAAATTGTGATGACATATTTGTCATTAATTTTCCAACTCTCAAAGTCAACAACTTGTCCCGAATGCCAAGCTTGTGACGATCAATTTCTTGCTAACAAACTATTTTTTTTTCTCACTTTCGAAGGAGCAACAAATTTTAACTATTTAAAATCGGGCAAAAGGAGTAGACAAGTGACACCTATAGCAGGTGATGAATATATTTAAAGTTTAAGTTCATGGAGCAAAATGTATACACTATATATCCACAAATAGTAATAACCAAAAAATCTACTTCCAATTCCAAGTCGCATGTTTGAGAGGGCAGATCATCGTTAACAAATTTTGTAAGTAGTTGATGATCATTACCAAATTTGTTTTTTAATGACACTTTTTAGACACCTTGTTGAATTAGATACAAAAGCAAGATATCCTAAACTAGAGTAATAATATATTTTTCGTGACAGTTACACAATAACTTACAACTAGGATGTGTGACAAAACCAAAATCATGTAGCCTGGCTAGTAATAAATCTATTCACATTATTTAAAATGATATTCTCTCCGTTCCAAAATAATTGTCGGATTTGTACTAAAAATGAAAATCCGAATAGGAGGGAGTATTAACTAGTTCCTATATGCATTTTCTTCGTTTCAGAAAATTTATGAAACGAAATGCGTATTCAATAGTGTGAATTAATCCTATTCTGGATGGACCTTTTAATCATTGAGTTGCAAAATACTTACTGTTAAGACCTAGTATTTCCGTCACCGATCGTATCATTAGTACCGATTGATTATTTATTCATGTTAAACTATCAGCAATTTGACCTAGTTCGCCTAAATGAAGATGTATGATTTTTGTGTGGTTCTGGTGAATCTGTGGACGTACAATTGGCAGGGTTTTCACCGTATCAGATCGCGCTGACGTATGGGGCTTCTTTTCTAAAAGAGGAAGCGGAATGTTTGACCTCCATGGTTTGACCTTACTACCTCTACGTGTCAGTTGCCCGAAAGTCGTCTATTGTCTTTTTCTTTGTTTTGAAAATAATTTAGCAGCCTATAGACCTCTACGTGGCGGCTTGTTTTTTTCCGTTTTGGGAGTTTGTTTCCCCATTTCAACTGTCCAAAACTCAGACATTACGTCGTCATGATTAAATTAATTAACCAAATTAATCAATGCTTGCTGGGTAATCTCCTTTAGAAGGTTCTTCAGATTATCACATGCATGATTAATCTAGCTTAGTTTTTTTTTCCTCCATATTATAAAATATTCACCGTCGATAAGAGCGATTAATAATCTTTTAGTAATATTGATAACAGTAAACACTCTCCAAATATTTTTGAATATTTAATTAATTAATTTCACAAATCCCTTACATGAAGTTAAAAAAAAGAAGAAGAAGAATTTGACGATCCATACAAATACGACAGAATTTAGAGAACAAATTACAAGAATCTTCGACTGTGTTGCAAATTGTTAAAGAGTATCATTGGATATGACACTAGATAATTCTGGGTAGGATGTGCTAACTTTTTGAATATTTATAATCTAATGATGTTCTTCATTAGATTATGCTCCGTATTCTGTTAATGCCCCACTCAAGGGTTTGATTATGTTTGACCTCTTAATCTAATGATACGGACATAAGACCTAACTTCAAATTTAATCCTCCCTCCGTCCCACAAAAATAGTTCACATTGAGTTTTGAGTTTTGTACTTTTTTTAGTATAAAGTTGAAAACTCAAAGTGGACTATTTTTTTTGGACGAAGGTAATACTAATCTGATCCCTAATGAGAAACCAACTCAGAAAATTAGGACAGAAGAAGTCAGACCAGCTGATTATTCTATATGCTCAAATATGAACATAATGGTCGAAATCAATTACCAAACACGGAAATGTTATTATGTTTTTCTCAACTAAACTAGACAATGTGAATCAATGCATATGTGTAGAATGGAAATGCGTAGATGCAAAAACCTTATATATATACTCTATTTATCTCAAAATAAGAATTAATTTATTGTACAGTTTGTACTAGAATAACTCAAAACGATTCAAATGACGTAAAAACAAAACCACAATAATCACCTTCAGTGGATATACACGTATTATATGCAGAAGAATGCAAAGAACAAATAAGACAAAAAATCATCGTCTCCCGAATACCGGCACAGCCCATTAATAATATGATTAAGTTCATTTCTCACAAGTTATTAATAATACGATTACGCAATTAAAAAGGTTAAAACCTAGGTACAGTTGCAACACGTGTCCCTGTGTCTCATCTCGTTGGTATACCTACTTAACTGATGAGCTCACACTAGACACCCATTCTCAATCACACGTACTTGATAATACTAATTCATAATTTGTATATATATATCCCATTCTCTCTTCGTCTTCTTCCAAACCGAATATACGTTGACAATCAAAAAAAAAATCTCTTCACAGTTCCCTCCATCAATTATTACTCTACTACAGTAATACTCCATTCATAAATTTATACATGTCCTTGATAGATACCAAAGATAACCATAACATTCGCCTCAATCTTTACAAACATCTCGAAAGCATTCTTTCCTGTTTCAACATGACTAAACTCAAAACCAATAATCTCAATGGTAGTACGAATATCTCTAAGGATCAAAAGGGTTCTGGAAGGCAAGAGTTGCGCAAGCTTTTGAATTCTGAACCAACCCTTTTCTTCCCTCAAGTAGAAGATGGTTATGATGATGATGATAATAGTACTACCATTAGTAAAGACGAGTCCGGTCGCCGGAATAGTACGGCTTCCGTTCCGAGCACTCGGTACCACTATTACAACATGTCTCCGGCGCCCAGCAGCGGAGCCGCTTCTCCGGCCTATTATTTTTCCCCTTGGAACCAACCGGTTTCCCCCTTTTCCAAGTCTCCTTGGATTCAACAACAATTTCTTCCACCGCTTGAATCTCTTCAGGACAACCCGGAATACGGGTTCGGTAACGGGTTAATCGGGTCGCTGGTTCGAGAAGAAGGCCATGTTTACTCGTTAGCCACCGCCGGTGATTTGCTCTACACGGGTTCCGACAGCAAGAACATAAGGGTGTGGAAGAATTTGCAGGATTTCGCCGGGTTCAAGTCCAACAGCGGGTTGGTGAAGGCGATTGTGGTGTTTTCCGACAAGATATTCACGGGTCATCAAGACGGCAAAATCCGGGTATGGAAATTATCCGGTTATAGAAAGAACAATTACAAGCGAGTCGGGAGTTTGCCAACCACCAAAGACTATTTGAAAAGCTCTATGAATCCGAAAAACTACGTGGAAGTAAGACGGCACCGGAACGTGCCGTGGATCAAGCACTACGACGCCGTTTCATGCATGGGAGTCGACGTCGTCGGAGGTTTCCTTTATTCCGGTTCGTGGGATAAAACCTTCAAAGTTTGGAGGATATCGGATTCGAAATGCATGGAGTCCATCGCCGCCCACGACGACGCCGTGAACTCGGTGGTTGTCGGGTTCGACGGGTTGGTGTTCACCGGCTCCGCCGACGGGACGGTGAAGGCATGGCGGAGGGAGCTGGTGGGGCGGAACACGAAGCACGTGCTGGTGGAGACATTGTTGGCGCAGGAGAACGCGGTGACGTCGCTGGCGGCCAACGGAAAAGCCGGGGTGGTCTATGCCGGTTCGTCCGACGGGTTGGTCAACTTCTGGGTGCGGGAGAAGCACTTCGTGGCGCACGGCGGCGTCCTGAGGGGGCACAAGATGGCGGTGCTGTGCCTGGCCGCCGCCGGGGACCTGGTGTTCAGCGGGTCGGCGGACAAGAGCATATGCGTGTGGAGGAGGGAAGCCGGTGGGGTCCACGCGTGCATTTCCGTCTTGACCGGGCACAGTGGTCCCGTCAAATGTCTGGCTGTGGAAGAAGATGCGGAATACGAGGAGGAGAACATTAACGGTGATGATCGGAGGTGGATACTCTACAGTGGAAGTCTGGACAAGTCGGTTATGTTATGGAGAGTTAATAATAACGCGCCGCCCATCAAGTAAATCAAAACTTGGGTTTGAAGTTGTTTTGAAGACATACGCGCCTCCGTAATGGTTGGTTTTGTGCGGTCCCCACACCGTCCAAGAAAGGAGCCGGGGACCGGTAGGTTGATGCTGATCGCAGGTGCGGTCCCCCTTCCGGAGAGAAAAGAAGATTTAGAAGTGCGTAGGGTTAGCTTGGCTGTTAAGTTTCAAATATTCAATCTATTTTGAAATGGAAACTTTCTACATCTCCAATTCAAAGTTGAAGATGTTTCTTGTGTATGAACATGTTTCTTGTGTACAGTTGGATATATATCTTCATTCCTTCATTATACTTACAAAAACTGTAGAAAAGTTGAAGAATTTTGACTCTAGATCGTTGGATTCAAGATTGTCTAATAGTACAGTTTTTGTTTGAGATTGTTCTAGTGACTGATGAAACACTCAACAAACATAACGAAAGGCTCAGTTTTTTTTTTAAAAAAAAATAAAAATTAGTTGTCTTATTCATTTGTAATAATCAATGATTGATAGAGATTTTAAACGTTATTAGAAAACCTTGTTGCGTGCGCTCTCATTACATCATATACGGTACATATAATTTTATTAATTGGCCCACCATATAAATTTTGTGACTGGAAATGATTGACTTAAGGGCTCGAACGTGAAAGCATGCACAAATTTGAATGCATGCATGCATAGATATTCTATTTTTCCCAAGTATAATTAAGGGAAGCTCAAGTACTAAAATATATGGTTAGGCTTCACCGAACGTTTCATTAATGATTTATTTCTCAAAAGTTGCGCCCCGTTATCCACAATTCGAAGAGCGAAAATGAAAACCAAAACGAGGTCTTACCGCGCGGGAAGTTCTTACATGTCGAATGTGATTTTAAGTATGATACATGTGTCGGTTTAAGATTATAGTATTATGATTCACGTAATTAAAAAGAAAACATGGAAGGATTACGATGAAAGAGGATTAGAGGAGGAAGAACTGAGATGTAAAGGTTAGCTGACCAAACTTGGGATTCAATAAACCCAATCAAATTAAAAAGCAGGATGATAAATAATGAAACTGTTGTTGCCTTGCTTTTTCAAACACTGAAATTGGACAAACCATTCGACCATCTAGAAAGGTTGAAACTTGAAGGCTCTATTCCAAAGCATAAAGTTCATTTGGTTTATCAAGCTATCCTCAATTATGGTTCCTTAGTTGACTTTTAACTTTTTCTTCCCTAATTTTATGCATTTAATTAATGCTCTATAATGCACATTTTTTTTGCCTTCAAATCATTATGACTTTCTTAAAAGAAGCAATGAAAAATATCTCAGATTTAGTTCTTTTTTTAAAAAATATTTTTTTTTCAGATATCTACAGTCGCAACAATGACTAACTATTTAATAAAGTTGCAAGTACTTTAATGGACGATTATTAAGGTATTTATGTTCAGGCAAGATTCGAACATTCATTTTTTGTGATTAAAGATTGATGAATTTATATACCAAAAACTCCTTAACGGAAATTTCAACTGTTTTTCTTGCAGCTTTAGGTGATGTCTCAGGGCCCATAGAGTAATTGACATTTTTGTAATGGATTAGTGGAAGGCTTTTTCATGTTGTAGGATATTGGACTTCACGATCCATTTAGTTCAATAAGAAGAGGTCGTTTCTATACATGTTGCTGCTTGTAAGTGACTACATCATGTGCAGTTTGACAGGCCATATGATCTCCGCAGGCCCAATTGTGATGATGACCATTTCAAAGTTAGTGCCTAGTTTGTTCATTATTCTCATTGGGATTCATGGTGATTTGGACACTAATTGCTAGCACTGAAAAGTTTTCATGCTAGACCGAGGAAAGGAGGGTGGAAGAATTAAGCATAGTCAATTCGACGTAGATATTAAAGAGTTTTGCCAATACAAACCGATAGGGGTCAATTTCCACTTAGCATACTACAAGTCTAATTCTAATAGATTGGTCAAAAAGGTAATTGGACAGATAACAAAAATACGAAACTATATATCTGTATTTAAAATAATAATAATTTTGGAATGAATGAGTATTACATTTTTCTCTTCATTGCGATTTGCGGAATGATATCTAAATGATGCGGAACTTTCGTCACCAAAAAGAGCTTTGACTGGTGGTTGTGCACTGTACATAGAACTTAGAAGGTGATCCAATCGAAAGATCAGCAGATTCTGCAAAGGATATTCCGCAGCAAGGGTTTAGCACTGATTGCCGAGCTGTCTTCTTTTTTCGCGCATGTTCATATGACATATCCTATATTAAAAAATGACCCACTGACGTGTTTAATGACTTGATGATCATAAACATAAACCAAAAAATAAAAATAAAAATAAAAATAAAAATAAAATAAAACTTTGATTAGAAGAAATTGAGGGCAATTTCTAGAGAAATTTATCAGAGATGAGCCCTCACCATTTGATTAAATTAATTTGTTTGACAGATGACCAATTCCGACTGAAAATTTCTTCACAAGTTGTCATCACATTTTTTCGATTTTCCTTTCCTGCAACGTAGTTTTAATCTTTGGTCTCCTCGGGCGTTGCTTTTTTGTAGCACTTGGTCTTTGTTTATGTATTTTTTTTGTTCTTGTTGATTGTAAAATCCTCAATCATTTAAGTTTTTGAGTGACGATTACTTCTCAATTACTTGTACAAAACAGGCCATTAATATGTTGAAATATTAAATCAATTTACATTTTATGAGTAAATCACATCGTACGTTAACTAAAGTTTGACCCCAAACTTAACCCTGAACATTTTAATTCACTTTGGTGGCATATCTCAGGCTACACATATATACAAGAAGGTTGCTAGCTTGATTGAGAGGATAAATGGAAAGGAAAAAAAAAGGGTGATTTGAAGAACAAGGGAGCGTGTGGGGAAATGTGGGATATATAAACGTAAGCAGATCATAGTAACTTCACTAAAAGCTCCCGTACCTTCCAATCCTCTAAAAATGGAAGCATATGAACAGAATCTGAAATTAACTTTAAGATGGTGTTCCTACACTATAATATCTGAGATGCTCATATTAGCAATGTTTCTACTGCGTGCACAAAAGTTACTACCGTAAACGAGTGAATACTAACGTTGGTGTACAAAATTATTACACTAACTACAGTTTCAAGTCGTGTGAATTTTTAATGATAGATCCGATCGTAATAATTTAAGCGCAACTGCATTTTTTGTCCAGGATTTGAACATTAATTATACTAGTCAAGTAAATCTTTCATGATAGATCCGATAGTAATATTTTAACCGCTACTGCATTTTCATTCCAGGATTTGAACATTAATCATATTAGTTAGCTTGCCTTTAGGCTTTAAGAAGCCGCCAACAATTAATCCCCAAGGGTCAAGAGTCAAAAAACAAAAGTATACTCACACACAAGTTGCCGCCGTGTCAAGTACGTGAAGAAACCACGACTTTGCATTTTCAAGGTCAATCCGCAATTCCGCATTATTATTATTATTATTATTATTCTAATTCAACGCGCCCAAGAACATTAAAATTTTAATTTTTATTCCTCACCCATCCAGATGCTGCCACGTACCCCCCCATAAACTCCAAACCTGCAAACCAAGATGCAAAAAGGAACATAGTATCATCCTGATAATAAACTAGTTAATAATTACAGTAACTCAATTTTTAAACATATTCATCCCAGAAGAATGATTCCCTTTCCACTTTTCCAGATTTCAGACCCCATTTCCCCTCCATTCTCACTCAAACTGTGCCTTACGAAATTTGAATGTGAACTTGGTTTGATTGATTGGGTTCCTTTTTTTTTTTTTTTTCCTTTTTCTTTGGTTTTCTCTAGCATTTTCTTCTTTTCAAAAAGTCTACAACCACTCTTGGTGATAATGTTGTTTTAGACCGCGTCAAATTCAAAAATTTATTAATGTTGGCTTGGTCTTCCTAGAGTTGATTTTGATCCTTTCTCAGTTTCTGGTACATAATTTCAGTCCTCTTTCCTGTTTCAAGTCCTCTTCTTTTACTGGCTTTAGTAGTGGTTAATTATCAGGTTTTTTTTGAAAAAACCTCCTAATCTTTCCCTTATATTTAACACCCATCTTCGTTGATTCATTCACTAGTTCAAAAAAGATTTATCTTTTGTTTCCGGGTTTTGTAAAAATCGAATTTATTTTACATTTTTTTTAGATTGTTGGGTTTGTTTCATTGAGGTAAAAAAAATTCAAAGAAAAAAGGTTTAAAGTGTTTCGAGCATTTTGATGAGTCTTGAAGTTATTTGAGTTGGGTGTTTCAAGAATTTGGAAGTGGGTAGTACTATGACTAGTCTTTTGAGGAAGTTTATGCCCATTTCCACCTCGAAAATTGATGATGATCAAGATGATGATGATGAGTATAGCGTGGAATACTCCTTTGCAATCGAGTACAGTGGTCCTCCGGTTAGCTACGATATTCCTCATGTGTTGCCGGTGGATGTTGAAACCATCCCAACTGCCGCCGTGGTTTCTTCTGACTCTCTGTTGAATAACTTGTCCTTGCCAGTTGTTCAACCAATTGTCAAGAAGGAATCTTCCGGCGAGAAACCGGCCAAAAGGTCAAAACTTGTGGGAGCTGAAGTAGCCGAGTCATCTGATTCAGGGAGAATTTCAGCTGAATTTGGAGGTTCTAACCGTGATTTTGTAGTTGTTAACCATCAAGAGGGTTTACCGGTACCGGATGGTTCAGAACACAGTTCTGGTACCTTAGGATTTTCTGAAAGCCCTATTGAATCTAATGAGATATCCGGGAGTTCGGATATCGAGGACTTAAAAGATGAATCCGGGATGGGAATAGGGAGTAGTGATCAAAGAGGAGGCCTTGGAAATTCGCTAGTGAATGATGATTCCTCTGATAATTCCATTTGTGAAGAGTTGGAAGATTATGCTCTTGAAACTTCATCCGTGGTGTCCATCTCTGAAGTGGTGGAAAATGGTGCAGATAATGAAACATTCTATCAAGAAAACAGAACCTCGGTTGTCACATTTGTCGAGCCCGAATCGAGCAATGCAACTTCTGAGGATGGCTACACTGATGAGTTAGATGATGATGTGGAAAGGCCAGTAGCCAGAACTGATCTGAAGAAAGGTGTGTGCCATAGGTGTTTGAAAGGGAATAGGTTTACTGAGAAGGAAGTGTGCATTGTATGTGGTGCAAAGTATTGTGGTAATTGTGTGCTGAGAGCAATGGGGTCAATGCAAGAAGGGAGAAAATGTGTTACCTGTATTGGTTTTTCAATCCTTGAATCAAAGAGAGGATATCTGGGCAAGTCATCTAAACTGCTCAAGAAGCTACTCACAGAGTGGGAAATTAAAGAGGTCATGAGAAATGAGTTATCTTGTGAAGCTAATCAAATTCCGCCTAGACTTGTGCATATTAATAGGAGACCTCTTTCTCTGCAAGAGTTAGTACAATTGCAATCGTGTAGAATTCCGCCAAAGAAGATTAAACCGGGGAGGTATTGGTATGACAGGGTGTCTGGATACTGGGGAAAGGTGGGCATCATGTCTATTCGGCATTATACTTTATAAACTAACTTGAAAACTGAATGCATCTGATGATGAATTTTCTTTGCTGAAATGCAGGAAGGCCATCCACCTTGCCAAATTATCAGCCCCCTGATGGATATCGGTGGTACAATTGAACGAGACGCCAGTAATGGAAACACAAATGTACTGATTAACGGTCGAGAGATTACTAAGAAGGAGCTCTGGATGCTGCAGGTTTACATTTAGTGGATAAAAATAAATTAAGAGTTTGATTTGTGGTCTGCTGTTATAAGAATACATTTTTGGACATTTACAGATGGCTGGAATCCATTGTGAAGGACAACCGCACTTTTGGTTGAGTGAAGATGGATCATATCAGCATGAGGGTCAGAGGAATGTCATGGGGAAGTTATGGGACAAGGTACTGGCACCCTTTGATTGACCATTTACTTTCTCATTTAGTTCATTTGCAGTGGACTCGATTTTAGTGCTTGATGTTAATCAGCTCATATATGTTGTTCCAGCCTAGAATCAAGTTTGTTTGTGCTGCATTGTCTTTGCCATTTCCTTCTGAGGTCTGCAGTGGAGAACTTAGGATGGAGGTTGCCAATGGTGGCGTAAGCCACCTTGATGAGAAAGTAGTACGCAAGCTCTTTCTGGTTGGATGCGACCAATCCGGAACAAGCACAATATTTAAGCAGGTATCATTCCCGGGGAAAAAACACTGTTTTATTTAGCTTGATAAACTTAAATATTCAACAAGCTTCACATTGCAAAGATATTTCATGCTACTATTTTCAGCATTCAAAACAAGTTATGATCGTTCGTGATCATCTAAGTAAGCTTCATCAAGTATTACCATGATTCACTTCTGCAAGATTCTTTCCAGTCTGGTAGCTTTTGTCATTCTTAATTTGGTGGCTATTTATGTCTCTTTCCAAGAAAAGGCATGCTACATCAAAGCTGTGAAGCTGACTTAAATGGTAGAATTAACTTTTCAATTTGTTTGTTGCAGGCCAAAATCCTATACAACGTGCCATTTACAGAAGATGAGCGCGAACATCTTAAGTTGTTGATTCAGACAAGTTTGTATTATTACATTGGCATCCTGCTTGAGGCTCGTGAAAGGTTTGAAGAAGATTGTTTGAGGGAACTAAGAAGACAACATCTGAGTGAACCTGGTCCATCAGGTATAAATAGGACTATTTTCGTAAAGTTTCATGAGAATGTCTTTGAAATGAATCCCTGCTTTATAGTTATTAGTCCTGAAACTTCTCAGCAATGACTTTTCTTGGTGTTCTTAACTAATCATCGGCTTCTTTGTTAACCAAATCTCATGCCAAATTGGTGCATAAATATATAAAGCTTTCTTGGTTACCATTAGATATGCTGGCACCTGACACTGACAGAACTTTTGATTTAAGCGACCCTGACAATGATCAATTTTTCTATACAGCTTATGCAGAGCAGATTGAGGAAAGAAATGCTTATTCTATGGCCCCTAAGCTGAAAGCATTCTCCGACTGGCTTCTTAAAGTTATGATGGCAGGCAACTTGGAAGCTATTTTTCCAGCTGCAACCCGTGAGTATGCTCGAACGGTTGAGGATCTGATGAAGGATAATGGCTTTCTTGCAGCATATAGCCGGAGAAATGAGCTAGACATGCTTCCTAGGGTTGCTAATTATTTCTTAGATCGAGTAAGTTGATGCCAGTAAAATCTTTTTGCTGTTTATGGCTTCGTAGTCTTTCATAGTTATTTATCTAATGGAATTGCTGCTGTTCAATGTCTGATACCTGTTTCTTCAATGAAGGCTGTTGATATCTCAAGAGCGGACTATGAACCCTCTAATATGGACATATTGTATGCTGAGGGCATCACTTCGTCTAATGGAGTTGCATCCATGGAGTTCTCATTTCCTGTGTCTTCTTCAGAAGGATACATGGAATCTGTTGATCAGACTGATGCCTCCATCAGGTCAGAGCTCTTGCTTCCCCTCTCTCTCTCTCTATGTAGTTTATGAGCTCGATTCATTCTATATGGGCCTAATTATTCTGTTGAAATCTCTTTGGAGATACTCCTGATATAGCTTTTAAAGAGCTTTTCGAAAAACTCTACATAAATATATATAACTAAACTTATTTCTGGCAAACCAAGCCCAAATTTTCTGTATTTTGCTACATTTTACTCTCAATACAGCTTAAGGACGTGTTTATGGATATTCAATAAAGTATGTCCTTGGAGCACCTGAATGTAACAAATACTTTATTTCTCCTACATATATCTGACTAAATGCTTTTAGAACTATCTTTCCCAACTAGAAACAATTAGGAGCCAAAAATTTTGTAGAAATTTCTCAATGATGATCTCTACCATAGAATAAGTTTCACAAGCTCTCAGAAGTCTGATAAACTCCATTTGTCTTATATGTATGTGGACAACAGCTGCAGCTATCAACTTATCAGAGTCCATTCGAGCCACCTCGGGGAAAATTGCAAGTGGTTGGAAATGTTTGAAGATGTCGATATGGTCATTTTTTGCGTATCTTTAACAGATTATGACAAGTACCTTGTAAATAGTGAGGGAGTTTGCATAAACAAGATGCTGGCTAGCAAAAAGCTACTGGAGAACATTGTGTCCCATCCTTCATTTGCCGATAAAGACTTTCTGCTCCTTCTTAACAAATTCGATCTGCTGGAGGAAAAACTCGAACAGGTTCCTCTCTCGGAATGTGAATGGTTTCCCGATTTCAGACCTGTCATGAGTAATAATCCACACAAAAGCACTAGTAGCAACAATCCACCTTTAGCTCAACGCGCTTATCACTACATTGCTGCCAAGTTTAAAAGGATGTTTGAATCTCTGACGGATAAAAAGCTGTATGTTTTTCCGGTCAGTGGACTGGAAGCCAACAGCGTAGACGGGGCTCTAAAATACAGCAGGGAAATCCTGAAGTGGGAAGAAGAAAGACCTAGATTTTGCAGGAGTGAGTTTTCTTCAGAAAGCATCGAAGCTAGTTCGTCTTCATAGTTAATGGATGTCAAATAGCTGTAAACTAACAAGAGTTGGTCATATATTGTGATGGCATTGTACATATTAGAGGGTGATCTATAATAAAACAAAGCTGCAAACTGCAAGAAAACTTAGGTGTTAGTCATGAAAGATTACATTTACGGGTGTTGTAGAAGAGGTCAGGGAATCCATAATGGTTCATTTAGCACTTGCGGATCTGATGTACTGAAAAGTTCATTGATTCATTCATATCTGTCTGTTCCATTATTGTACTGAATCGGCAATGTTTGGGAAGCCTGGAAATTAAACCATTTCCTTACTGTAGTTTTTAGTACGAAGTGCCAGTCTATCTGACCAAAAGGCTCGATATTTTATATAAAGAAACAAGATAACAAAAACCCAAGTGTTTGTGTGGTGATATCTGCGATATGTGGTGATATCTGCGGTAACAACGTCAACACAATCCGAGTTCCGCCCAGAAAATAGCCAAGATTGATCCTTTTTGTTTTTGGCGGGGAAGTCATTTTACCTTTACTCATATTCTTCTTGGTTCCTATTACTTGATCGACTCCAGTTAAAGTCCGCATGGATTTTGTATCAATGGGAGAGATTCTTTCTAACAAGAGTTGGCACAATTTCAATCTTTTTTGGTATGACAAGATATAGAAGTACTGCGGAAAGCTAGGAATCGTGTCCTATTCACATTTTGTAGTTCATTACTTCATTATGAAGAATCTATACGCATTTGGTGGTGAATTTTTACCTTGGCTGTAAACAGGAAGGTTGTCAAATAATCAGCCCCCTGATGGAGATATTGGTGCTACAAGTTACAATTGACTGAAATGCTAGTAATGGAAAAAAAAAAAAACGAATGCACACTGATAAAAGAAAAAATTCCTGCATTCTGCCATATTGTGATTGACTATTTCCTTTCTCTTTCTGTCCATTTCCAGGTTTTAGGGCTTGATATCAATTAGCTTAAAGCATCCACAACCAAGTTTGCTTGTGCAGGATAATATTCCACCATAACGAAAACTGAATTGAAGTTATAAACTTCAATAGAAAACAGAGGAGTTGAGAGAAAGAGTCATATATATAGCTTTCCGACACCAAAAAAGTAGGTTACTAGACTGTGTTCCTTGTAAGATGTAAATCTCGCAGCTCTTTTGTTGAGTTCATAGGATTAGAAATTTCCTGTCAGTTTTGATATCTACTACTGCAAAAAGTGTGTGGTTTTGAGAAGGCCATTAAGAACCAGGAGCTTCCGGGACTGTGGAAGAAGAGGCAATTAGGCTTTGGCGTTCAGGCAAAACAGAATATGTGGAAACGGATATTGGATTGCCTTCCAATCGCAACATGATGCTTGTCAGTCCTGCAGTCAAAAGCTTCTTGAATTCTTCCTCTTTAACCAATTCCACGTCTGCCGCATTCAGCATTCTCAGTTCATCATTTATGATTTGGTCCATCTGTGAACCAAATTAAAGAATACTGATTTCAGAATTTTCAGAGAGAAAAGAAAGAGCAGAGATAAGGTTTTTCTGATGAAAGGCACACACACACACGTTATTTACTCCATTGATACTTATACTACACAAAAAGTACACACTGCATACTAAGTCGACACTAAACAGTAAACACATCTCAAACTCTAACAATCTGAAAAGAACATAGATAGCGCCGCATAACATCAGCAGGACAAGTACATGATAAAGTATGACAGATTTTTCAGGTGAACAAATGGGATTTCACAAAAGAACATGGCATTTGTCAACTGCAATATGTACAGGTTATCTTAGGATTTACCTCATTGACATCACCAACAAGAGGCAGGCCAGACAAGGGAGCCAAAGCATCGAGCGCAACACGTAGGTGGTCTTTTAACATTTTTCCATGGTGATCTTTGGAAACACTTTTCAAAGCATGCTCCAGACTCTGCAGTAGGGCAATCAACCCAGGCTTGATCATTCATGGATCATAGGTGCACATACAGTTTCTATAATGAACTTGGGATTTTGTTTTGATAATTGATCCAAGTTTTGATTAATTTACCTTATCCAGATCAGATTTGTTGGATAACAACCTTCTAATTCCAATCCCGTCAAACGTTTTCTCAATATGTTCAACGATTACAGGCTGCTTTTTAAGACGATTCCCCACATTCTCTGCAACATTTCTGAATACTTGAAGAAACATCTCTTGAGGATCCAGTTGATCCACAACACTGGTACAGGACTGCTGCACTGCTGGTTCTATGATGGTTCTTCTAACCTTCAATACAACAAAATCAAAATGACATCATGTCAGTAGTTCAAATGTTCAATATTGCTGACCATCCACCTCAAGAAAATCAGTATCCCGATTGTAAGGATAATACAACAAATTAAGACTGATCTCTCCTCGCTTATTGCCGAAAGTTTCAATTCTTGAAGCAAAAAGAATATTTAGAAGGTTGCAAATGCCTGATCCTTGAGCATTATAAACTTTTCCATAATGCTAGTAGGTGGCAGAAAAGCAGAAAGGTTATCAATATTACAGCCAAATGCATGCCTAGTTAAAACTTTTATAGTTTGAAGTTGCTTGACTATGTCCTCTGAAAGTTGGAGCAACCATTTGCATAGATTGGGTGAAGGGTAATGTCCCAGCTTCGTGGGAAACCACATCCCAAACATAAGATCCTCATCAATCTTACCGAGACCACGATATCCCCACCACCTCCATTGGTTGCGGAGAATAAAAGTCTGGGTTTGGGGGGAATAGGCAACCACAAGCAAGGAGTGATACGATTGATTCACATTGGGGTTGGGATCAAATTGGGTATCCTGTGTCCCCCTATATATAGACGTCTTCTTTCCCTTTTCCCTTCCAATCTTTGAAATTCTGGTCAGATTTTAAGACGGTAACCCCAGGATGCTTATGGAGAAGATCTTTCATCATTTCTTTGTCCTGTACAATCTCGTAATCGTGTAAGAAAATTTCTTCACAATCCGGCCTTTCATCGTAGGAGATGTGGTCAGGTAACGGGAGAAGCTCCCTTAGACGATAGCCCCGAGTGCTTTGATAAGAACACGGGGAATTCACTTGGCGTCCGGGATAGGGGCAGAATTGTTCCGGCATCAAACCATATGCGCCCATCAACAGAGAGAGGTGGTCCCACGAGGTAGTTTGGCAACCAGAAAGTTTAAATAAATCCCAGGCAGATAGTTCCACCACGGGTTCAACTCCTTGATAGGATCTGGAAGCAGCAACCGCCGTCGACATGCAAACAGCAGAACACGAGGGATAATTCCCCTGAGGATATGCGGGTGGCAAGAAGTTGTTCCAATTAGGCCTACTTCCCTCGAAGTAATCATCCTCCTCCACCCCGGCGTAACCGTCGTCCACATCCATTGAATCTTGCTCCGGTCCGGTCAGACAGAAATGCGAAGACGATTTGCTGCTCCTGAGAGAAAAATCAAACTCACAGCTATGGTTCTTGACCTTCTTTCCTCGCCAATTTAGGATTTCCGAACTTTGAATTGAACTATTGAAGTGCCGCAGCTTCCACAACCAATTTAGGGTTTAATTCTCCTCCCGTTAACAAAAAGCAGCAAAATGTCACACTTTTCAATAGGGAGTAGTAGTACAATCTTGAGAGCGCCAGTGATAATAATCTATTATACTCCTGATTTTTGTTGTTAGAGAAAAAGAAACAAAAAAAAAATCATGTAACGTTATTCAACAACAAGCACACACGTATCAGGTATGATTCCCCCCAAAACAAATCGATACTGTCTACTATATATCCTAAATAAAGTTTGGTGAATCATAAATCTTCAGCAAACCCAGTAACACATCTAAGGACAAAAAAAAAAAATAATATTGACACTTCTTCCTTTACAGAGTGTAAGCGTAAGACTTGACTATCGGGTCCCATTCCCATAGATAAATACTAGTAACTGAGAGCTCGAAATCAAAGGGTGCAAGAAAGACTGCTCCTGAATCGATCATTCTTCTGAAAACTTCACTCCCTGATATCATTCATGATACAGAGGGGTTAACTCAAATTTGCAAATCTTAATACCAGCAGCACCCAAATTGACTAACCACAATTAGTTCACTTCCCCCAACTGCAATGAAGCCAGCACCTGCAAGCAATATAAGAGAACCACACCACTCTGGAGCACATCAAAAGCATCATTTCATTCCAATGTTATGTCCCAGATGATGAAGCATTTAGGAGGCACTCATCAACTCTCAAATTCTCCCTGGCGTCCAACCTTCATAAATATTACACGGGCCATGACAGAAAGTGGCTGAACCCCAGAGAACCCAGCATCTTTGATGAGGTGGTTGAATTGGAATACATCTTGCCGGCCGGTAACCGCGGTTGCTTACTAACTTCTTCAATAAAGATGGACTCTCATATATTCCCTTCTTAATCTTGTCTTGGTATGACGAAGAAATTTCACATCTAAGATCGGATTTCTTGTCCAGAACCACCCTGATTCCGAAATAAATCAAACGCTGTCAGAGTTGGGATACAGTACTCCTCAAAGGTGTTAAGCACACACATTACGTTTATATGAACTGTAGTCTTGACTTTGCATACTTTGTAGAGCCTGATAGACCAGAAGAAGATTTTTCATGAAGCTAGCCCAAAAGTTCTACCTACTGTGGCATCTCAACCTTTGGAGCTACCCGCAAGACTAGATCCATTTGATATAAACTAAAAACAGCACCTACTTCTCCCCATAATATACCTGCCCTGTTTCTGGTACCCATACATTTTGTCTCTTTTAACTTATTTTCTTTGGGCGTAAATTCCTTAATCCGCATCTCTTATTTTCTTTGTATTGTTGAATTCGTCCTGTAGAATCCTAATTCTAAGCGGTGTCTTTTCCGAAAATTTGATCATGTTTATAAGTTATATAATGTTGGGAATCTTTGAGACTCGATAGTTGAGATATCCAAGATGTATAAAGCTACTAGTATCTCTTGTTCAATGTTCATCTGCTCGTGTCAATTTCTGACACGACGGACATAATTTACATAGACAACCTGATACAATATTACAACGATCGACACGATTTGCATTTCTTATTACATTTTTTTCTCCAAAAAAATCTTATGAACCCTATAAAATACATAACTCGAAATTGACACCCCCTACTTGAGATGGTGCCATTTTTACCAAGCAGAGCTGCTGCAGATTATTGGATTGTTAGGGTGAATGACCTGGATACTTGAGATGGTTCCACTTTCTTTCTGTTCAAATACTTTCATATACAGATTACTCAATTGTGTCACCGAACTTGGTTTGTTTTGCTTCCAATCATTCTGGAACTCGTACAATTCTGACACTTCTAAACAAAAGCCATTTGGTCATCTGCAGGGCAAATGATAACCTGTGTAATTTGATGCACTTGAAATCAGTTCACTAAATACATCAAGATTTGATGAGTACATGGTTTATGGTCCTGGATCAAAGGAGTAATGGAAATAATGCTAGGCAGATCAATCTTTATGGGCATATTTCGCCTTAAGGATCCAAACCCCGGTATCCAAACTTCCACGTGGCAGCAGCGGCAGTGGAAGCGGCAGCGGCTTTCTTAGCAGTTCCGAACTTTTCGGCAATGGTAACTTTCGAGCTTCGGAAGAATGAGGCTGATGAGAGAATAGAGTAATGCAAGAGTATGCTCGTTGGTGGAGAGATTTCGACCCCTCCGCCTCCCGACGCAGGGATTGGTTCGTACATCCACCTCTCACGCCTCTCAAACAAGGCATTACTGTCCTCCATCGCAACAGATGGTAGAATTAGATCGTCCATGGGAAGCTTAAAGGTGTGGTTTGGTTCAGAAAACCTAGTTTCCAGAATTTGACGACAATCAGCAAATATTGATGATTGGGTCGTATTTATACACCGTGGGCTGGGCCGCTCTAACCGACTTCCTCCCCCCGCCTAACCAATTTATACGACACCGTTCTACAATTACAATTATAACGCCTGCGATCTTGAGGAGCTGCTGCTAGAAGGAAAAACCCATGAAAAGTAAAACAAATTAAAAATCTAATCTCTAATTCAGGCGTCAGCCCTAAAGCAATAAACCATTGTAACAGCTTTGGAGGTTTAATCCCAAATTAATTATCAAAATTCTCAGAAAAGAGGTTTGAAGGGAAAGAAATAGGAAGAAAGAAGGCATGATTCACATTTTAGGAGTTGAGATTGGAATTGGGAAGAAACGAGATTGTAGTGGGCCTTTTTCCTAAAAAAAATTAATTAAAATAAACGTGGACAAATTCAAATTTTTTAGAATATTTGTGCATAAGAATATATCCCACGGATTTTTGAAATCCGAGTTCTGATTAAAATTAACGATTCCGATTTCGGAAATCGAGACTCTATTTAATAATAAAATAATAATTAAATAAATTTTGTTGAATAATATTTTTTAAAAATTCTTAAATGAACAGCGCCGTTCGGATTTGCGGAATCCGAATTTAATTAAAAAATAATAAATTGAGGCGTGAAACATTTGAACTCAAATAAGGAGTCCAGGAACGAATTTGTGGAATCCGAATTTAATTAAAAAAATAATAAATTAAGGCGCGAAACATTTGAACTCAAATAAGGAATCCAGGACCCGGACTCCTTAAATAAACAGTAGTACTCGGATTTACAAAATTATATAATATATATAATATAATATATATAATATATATATATATATATATTATATATATAGTATTATATTATATTATATATATTTTATAATATATAATATATATAATATATTATATATTATATATTATAATATATTATATATAATATATTATAATATATAATATATAATATATTATATATAATATATATATTATATATTATATATACATTATATATTATACATTATATATACATTATATATACATTATACATTATATATACATTATACATTATATATTATATATATACATTATATATACATTATATATTATACATTATATATACATTATATATACATTATATATTATACATTATATATACATTATATATACATTATACATTATATATACATTATATATATATACATTATATATACATTATATATACATTATATATACATTATAATGTATATATATAATGTATATATACATTATATATACATTATACATTATATATTATATATATACATTATATATACATTATATATTATACATTATATATACATTATATATACATTATACATTATATATACATTATTGATATATACATTATATATATAATATATATATAATATATTATATATACATTATATATTATACATTATATATACATTATATATACATTATACATTATATATACATTATACATTATATATTATATATATACATTATATATACATTATATATTATACATTATATATACATTATATATACATTATACATTATATATACATTATTGATATATACATTATATATACATTATATATTATACATTATATATACATTATATATACATTATACATTATATATACATTATATATATATACATTATATATACATTATATATACATTATATATACATTATATATATATATATTATATATACATTATATATTATAATATATATATACATTATATATATATACATTATATATATTATAATATATATACATTATACATTATATATACATTATAATATATATATTATAATATATACATTATATATACATTATATAATATATATTATAATATATTATAATATATACATTATATATTATAATATATACATTATAATATATACATTATATACATTATAATATATACATTATAATATATACATTATATATTATAATATATACATTATAATATATATACTATAATATATTATAGTATATATATATTATAATATATACATTATATATACATTATATATTATAATATATATATACATTATATATATATATACATTATATATATTATAATATATATACATTATACATTATATATACATTATAATATATATATTATAATATATATACATTATACATTATATATATTATAATATACATTATATATATTATAATACATTATATACATTATAATATATATATTATGAGACGGAGAGAGGAAATGAGTATATATATATAATATATATTATATATAATATTTATATATATATAATATAATAATTTGAAAGCTGGAAATTTCCTTTTAAATCTTTTGTGTTATTATTCAGTTATTAGAAGGAATTAAGTGGGAAACGATGGCGGAGGCCGAGGGGGGATGTCAGTTGCAGGAGGAACGACGAGAAGTATCCGGTAACAACGAGAAGGTTTCTCGTGAGGTACGCCATACTGGGTTTTGGACCCCCTATTTTGGGTGATGATGGATTCTGGGTTTTGTTTCTTTCTTCCTTTTCTTTTGGTTCCTTGATCATGCGTTCTTGTTGATTTTGTTGTAATTAATATGTTTCATTGGTTATCTTGTTATCTCCCTTTGATATAGATAGTTACTTTGTTTGTTCTGTTTGAGGCGATTGTTGGTTTTCAGGGGATGGTTGATTTCGAAATATGTCAATCTTGAATGTTAATATTAGGGTTCTATCATAACTTTTGTCTTGATTTTTTTTTCTTTTTTTTACTTTATGTTCTTGTCTTTTAGAACATTGAGTTGTGTTCTGATGTAATAACATTTTGTTTTTCAAGCATCCGGTGTTGGTAGACTGTCTTAGGTTGGAAAAAACAAGGATCGTGTGTAACTTACTTTCCACAGGTATAATTTCCTACCTGCATTGCTGTAATACTCCTCCTCTTTTATTGTGACCACTCATTGCATGATTATTAAAACTTTTATTTACAGGAAGAGATATCGACCCTGGATTAATTCCCTTCTTAGTTGAGAACCTGGCAAGGAATGATTATCCGGATCTTCAGGTTTGATGTCACATCTGTTAAATTTGTCTTACTTTGCAGTTTTTCTGCGAACAGAATGTCTCTGACCACTATTTTTATCTTAAACTAGTTTGAAGCTGCCTTTGCTCTCTCAAATATTGCATGTCGCTCTTCTGCTCATATTTATGCGGTGGTTGAACATGATGCTGTGCCTATCTTCATAAAGCTCCTGGATTCTCCTAGGGCTGATATTCGCGAGCTGGTCTGTTTTTCCTTTAAACCTTTTTCAGTGTTGCAGATATGGACTGGAAAGACTTCTATTTTTTTTTTTTTTTTTTTGAGGTTCAGAATTTGATTGTTTTATTAATGTTTAGGGCGTATGTGCATTGGGAAACATTGCCGGTTTCTCTCCTAGCTGTCGTGATTTGGTTCTGAGGAAAGGGGCTTTGTCTCCATTGCTGGCACGATTGAATGAGCATGTAACTTATTCAATGCTAAGAATTATGACATTCACGTTATTAAACTTCTGTCGGGGCAAACCTGAATTTGAGGCGGTTAGCTGTATAATCAATTTTTTTGTTCCCCTTTTTGTTTTTTACTTTCTTCTTTTAATGCTGATAATAAGATGTAAATATTCAGGTGCGTCGTGCAGTTCCAGCTCTCCAACTATTAATTCATTTTGGTGACAAGGTCGTGCTAGAATATGCATGCTGGGCTCTGTCATATATTTCTGATGGTTCAAATGATCAAATCCAAGCTTTAATTGGGGCGGGTGTCTGTCCACGGCTTGTGAAGCTACTCATGTAGGTTTCACTTGATTATCATTGTGCCTTTTTTTTTTTTTGGTCTCTTCTCAATTTATTTCTGATATAAAAAATAAATTGTAATCTTTCAGGCATACACCGGCTTGTGTGCTGTTTCCTGCACTTCGCACTGTTGGGAATATTGCTAGAGGAGATGATCGTCAGAGACAGGTATGTCCAATCCATCACTTCACATAGTTTGCATCTAGAGTTTGACCTCTGCTGGCACTTTAAACTTTAAAGTTGACTGAATGTTATGATGTATTTGGTATTAATAGTGAGTGTGTACTGCAGTGTATAATTGACCATGGGGCGCTTCTTTGTTTGCAAATACTTTTGAATACTGGAGATAATATAATCATCATGAAAGAAGCTTGCTCGACCATCTCTGCTTTTGCTGCTGGAAATGCGAAGCAGAATCAGGTGTAGTATCTTTGTTCCCATAGTTGCCTATTACGTAAATGGAAATTTTTTTGTTTTAAGCAGTTCTCTGATGGCTATTCTCTGGATTTACAGGCAGTATTTGATGCCGAGTTGATTCAACCGTTATTTTTCTTGCTAGAAGAAAAGTCTCCTGATCTAAGGGAAGAAGCTGGGAAGGCTATTATATCTGTTATCGCTGGTGGAAGTTGTAACGGAATCAGGTACCTTCTTCATCATTTTTTCTCTTCTGTATTGGACATAATTAACCCAAAGTCTAAGGTTTCGTTTCTTTTTTTTTTTTCGTTATTATTTTTTTTTACCTTGGGGTCATGGTGGACAGGGCTTCGGGTTTGAAGGGCTTTATAAGACCATTATGTGATCTTCTGCGGAGCCGTGATCCCGAGATCCTTAATGTTTGTCTGGATGGGCTGGAACTCTTATGTAAACCCACTGAAGAAGAAAAGCAGCCGGGATGCTACAATTACTTTGCAAGATTGATGGATGAAGCTGAAGGCTTGGATAGGATCAAACTCTTGCAGACAGTGTCGGAGTACCCTGAAATCCGTGAAAAAGCATTGAAGATTTGGGATCCGTTATATAGTGAGGCATTAAAAGTATGGAAGTATTTTGAAGAGCTGGGAGACGTATTTTTTTGACGCCTCGTAGTTCTATCCAAATAGTAGTTACATCGTGTTGGAATATGGGTCTTCAAAGTTATAGCCTAGTTTTGGTAGATGGAACATTTATAGCCGATAGAAGCTCCTCTGTATGTACAATTACCACAGAAAATTTGCGTTTACTTATTGCAGAGTTATGCTGTTAAGCAGATTGTTCATGTGAACGTGTTTGTATATGGTATTGCAGCACATTGTTCTCCATATATCCCTGACCCAAATTGCCCTCTTTTGTTGGACAAGTTAACAAATCAAACTCGTTTATGTCATATAATAACAATGACAGCTTTCATTAGAGATGAGAATTGTGGAATTTGTTAGAGATGTCTCAAATGTTCACAGGTAATGGTGTTTCGTTGCAATTATTTTTACTTACTAATCATATCCCCTAAAAGCAATTATCCATTTACCATTTATGAACAAATTACAAACTAAACATGTGCTTTACTAACTGGACAAGTTTCCTCATAAATATCCTGAATAAATAGGCAATGCAATTGAAATACTTACTACTTACTACTAGTAGTAGATTGCGTAGTTTTTTCCAGTATTCTAACAAAGAGAAAACTCGTATACCCACACAGCGCGCCGCCTATCATTTCAGCGCCTGTTTTTCAGACTCTGAAAGAAGAAGATGCAAGCACGACTAGATCTTCTGGACCGTCTTCCCTCAGCTACAAGGTACCTGTTGATTAATCTATTACGTACTAATTAGCACTTAGGGTTCTTTTCCACTTAGGGTTCTTTTCCGTTTGTGATTTTCCAAACCTGAAAATGGCCCGAATTCCTGCATTTGGTTTAGTTGTTTGATACTCATATTTTGCCTTTTGATTTTGGTATCACAAATGCGAGGAGACGTGCTCTCTTTTACGTTCTTCCGTCTATTTTGATTAGTCCATACCCAGTTTTGTTGGAATTACTTGTTACCCTGAGAATTTGAAAGACTTGGTTCGGAGACACCCATGGGCGTTGGTATTTGGTTTTCAATCTGAATATGTAATTATTTTCTAAACAAGATAAACGGGTTTGTTTTTTCTTTCTTTTCTTTTCTTTTTCTTTTGTTGGTTACTCTACTGAGGATTGTGGCTTAATATTCTTTTCAAGTCAGAAGTAAACTGTCTGTATTTTGGTTGACTGGTAGTAGCATGCCATGTGAAACTGTAGAAGGAAGTGGGTGTAATTAACCTGAGTTCCTTTTACCTGACTCCTGTTCATCTTGGAGGTTACGTGGTTGGACATTAAACTCCACCATGCATCTACATGGTTTCGTCTCTCGCAAATTTGCCAATAACTCCACATGTTTCATTGAACAACAAATGTGCTGGCCTATTGGGTGCTAATTTTCTACTAATTTCTGCATAGGTATGAAAAGAGCTATATGCATCACAATGTAGTCACTCATGTTGCCGTCTCTGAGGCTGATGTTTTCATCTCTGGGAGCGCTGATGGTAAGATGAAGGAAAGAAACGAGTCACCACATCCTTAAGGTTTAATTAGCTACTTTCCCGAGAATTCTGTTATCGGAGAAAGAAAAAGATTTTTTTTTTTGCCCGGTCAAACTAGTGGGTCCAACAGTTTAGGAAATTAATAAAAAAAATTAAGGATTTAACAGATAAAAAAAATTGAACCGTTAAATTTTAAAAAAAATTCTGTTAAATAAACCAATATTGACGAGAAAAACATTTTAGCGGACTGTTTTTGTCAATTAAAATTTTATGGTGACTCGATCTTGTTACCCTCAAAAGCTGGGGGATGAAAAGTGCATTTTGTTCAATTCCAAATATCATATTATCCTTAAAAGTCCCCCAACCCAAACTAAAAAAAAAGCCCAAAAAAGTTGGAAACAAACACACACGCGCACACACTATCCTATTTAATTTCAGAAATAAAAATTGCTAAATACACACACACACACGCAGAGAGTCCGATTAAGAGTTCCAAAAAAAAAAGGCATAACTATTTAATCCTTATAAAAATTTATCCATGGTTTAGCAGTTACATTGTTTTACTAAACCACCACCATTCTATCTCCAAAAGTAAACTTCTTAAATAAATCAAAACATCTCCAAATTTCTCCACTGATTTCTTTTATCCAAATCTTGGTAACATCAACCTTGATGCGATGCTATCCTTGCAGCAACATTAACAACAGGTGAAAACGAGTCACTGCAAATTTGAACAATACAACAACAAAAGCACAAGGAGACATGAGAGTAAGAAAATAAACAATTCGGTAATTCATATTATTATGTTGATTTCTTTTATTGCTTATTACAATTAACTCATCATTTTATATGTGACACATGCATCTTAATGTAAGGATTTCTTTTAAAGAAAAATTACTACGTGCGCATATTTTGCTTTATCTTTTGTGATATTAGATGTCGTTTTTTTCTCACACAACTTTAGTTAGCAAAAATGATAATCGGCTTAGACTAACAAATTGTAAAATGTTAACTCATTTCAAAGTACATTTTCTAGAACGTAAACTACATCTTAGTTAATTCTTTTATGTACATCTTTCTTTTCCAATGCCTTTTATAATTAGTCTTAGTTATAGTTTATATACAGAAATTTGATGTATGTAGTCACCTATAATTTTTGTATAATAAGAAAAGTTACGTTCATATGACAAAGTAACATGATATTTTCATTTTTCTCTAATTAAAATTGATTTAAAGTGAAGAAATGATATCGATTGAAAATGTGTCGCATAGGTCTAGAACCTAGTTATATTTATAGGCTAGTTATTTCCTAAACCACCAACAATAAGAAATTATAAAAACACCCACAACCTAAACCAATAAGAAATAGACTTGGTTTATTTTTTAACAATTGTTGACAGACGAAACCTCCTTGAACTTCAGCAACTTCCCAAAAAACCGTTGACTACTTGACTTTGGAGGATAAAATTCGCAAAAATAAACAGAATAGCGGTTTCCTGGTCATTCCCTGATCCCATTCAGTATACTCTGCAGTGAATATCATCACTGTTTGAGAATTTGTTTGTCACATTGCGGATTGTTTGTTTTGTGAGATTTTCTTACAACCAAAATCATGACTGAAATTTATGACAACTGGGGAAGGCTGGTCAGAGCTACTTTACGCAGGGAGGAGCTACTGGAGATCCCAAGTGATTTGCCTTCGCTGTCCGGGGCAGCAACAACAACACCATCTTACAGGTTGAGCTCAGAAAATGGTGAAGATTCATCTTTTTTGGAGGAGGATAAGTCATTTACCTTTCCACACAATCTAGGTGCCACTGATTACTTGAATGACTCCAATCAAAGTCCACCAAGACTTGTGTATATCAATGGGAGACCTCTTTCTCCACAAGAGTTGCTACAATTGCATTCTTGTAGGAATCCGCCGAAGAAGATTAAACCAGGGAGGTATTGGTATGACAAGATTTCTGGATACTGGGGAAAGGTGGGGGTTGGTGTCCTTTTGATTTTTGACATTTTATACTTTGTTATGAATTAGTACTCCTAACATTTTTCAAAAGATTTGATGATGCATTATCTTTACTGAAAAACAGGTAGGTCATCCACCTAGTCAAGTTATCAGCCCCATGATGGACATTGGTGGTATACTTGACCAAAAGGCTAGTAATGGAAAATCAAACGTTATGATAAACGGTCGAGAGATTACTAAGAAGGAGCTGTGGATGCTGCGGGTTTGCATTCTGTGTCTATAATGTCAAATCCTATTTTTTATTTGTTTCTGCTGTTTGGTCTAATTAGCAGTATCTCATTTTTGAACATTTTGCAGATAGCCGGAATTAATTGTGAAGGACAGCCGCATCTATGGCTTAGTGAAGATGGATCCTATCAGTTTGAGGCAGGTAGGGCTCAGGGGAAATTATGGGACAAGGTACCGGCAAATTTCGATTGACCATTTTGTTTCTCTTTTAGTTCATTTCCAGTAAAGTTGATTGTGGTGGTTGGTATATATTAATTAGCTTAAAACATATGATTACAGCCTAGAACCAAGTTTGCTTGTGCTGTATTGTCTCTGCCAGTTCCTCCCTGAGTGCCGCGATGAAGATGTTAGCATGGAGGCTGCCCAAGGGGACTCAAGTCGTTTACCTTTTTTTGTATAAATTCTTTTAGCAGTTTCCTATCAAAACAGCTTGAAACTGTGGTTCACAATGGCTTCTGTAGCTGGAACACCAGAACTTAATCTAATAAAGTGACTTGTTGGAATAATAGATTCTGCCTTCACAATGAAATGCTTTCAATACAGTCAGAGTGCGAGGACTCTAGCTCATCTTCATCTTACTACTAATTGGCAAATTCTTCTATTCTATTAACAAGTGCTGGTCATCTTTTTCTGATGGCATTGTCAATACTACAAGATGATATTTATATCATAAGTTCATGGAATTATAAGAGAGGTGAGGAATCGAAAATGGTTCATCCCATAATGGTTCGTTGGCTTACTCATTGTCTTCATTGGTTCTATAATTCCCTGAATCAGCAGCATTTCAAGTGAGCCCATTGTGGCTTTTAAACTTTGTTGATAATCAACAATTAATAGAATCCTGGAAAAAAGAATCATTTTGGTCTACTCTTCTGTGTTCTTATGAAATGCAACATGTGTGATGAATTGTTTAAAACCAGTCCATCATCGAGCTGGACCAAATATTTCAAATAACAGTTTCACGCTTGTTCAACAACTAAACATGGTAGAAATTACAATTCTCCAAGGAAACCAAATTAAACAGCATTTATAATTACATCATGATGAGAAATGTCTTGTACAATATATACAATACTATTATCTGATTTATAGAATTCATCAACAGGGCGCAAAACGATCCATGAGCAAACAAATTGTTGCCTCGGACAAGGTGGTCTCTTGATCCGCGGCCTTGGCACTCGACGCCTGCGACTTAAAAGAAGAAGAAGAAGCAAAGGAGTGTTGGTTTCTAGTACTAATTACTTTGCTGGATTGAGCTTCTTCTTGTTGTTCCTCCTCCTCAGCAACTTCTGCTTTCTGGGATCTTGAAAAAAATAGTTTCCTCGGACGAACAACCTTCTCTTTCAGCTTGACTAGCTCTCCAACACACAAGTCCACAACGGTTGCTGCCATTTCTGGGTTCTTTTTTTTGTTGATTTCTTAGCTCCCCTGTTTCTGGGAATTTTTATACTAAAGGCACAAACTTCTCTTTTGAGTTTTCAGACTCTGATGTGAATAAAGAAGGAAGAATGAAGAGGGAGTGAATGAAATGAAGTTGGGTTTTTTTTTTTTTATACACAAATTCATCGAGTGGCGTATGAAGAAACTGTGTGCAGAGAAGACCGTAAAACGGCCGGCCCACGGATGTGGGAATAGTATTTAGAATATCTTTTCTTTTTGGAACACGGATATTCCTACTTTCTTGAATGCTAATTTGTCCATCACTTCTTCGCTCTATTATTATTTGTGTAGGGGTAATTTTTTTGTGCCTTTTACAGAATGCATCATTTTGCCCCTATTTTATTGGCACTTTCTATCCTTTTTTTTCCCTTCTCTTTTCTCCAAAACACCTATGCTATTTATTACTTTCTGTATCAGAATTATCGTCCAGTTTGAGTTTTCACTTTTAGTATATTTTGTAATAAAACTAAAAAATCTAAATTGGAAAATAATTTCGGGACGAAGAGAATACCGGATAAAGACTCCAATTAATCTCGAGGTTCATGCGCGGATTTCAGCCGGTTTGAAAGCAGTTGTTTGCTGCACTAAATAACTAACTTGACTAGTAATTTTTAGGTTATTTGATCATGGGACGGGAGATCCCTGATCACCACCAGGACGAAGTGGCATTTGGAGTTATCAATTAGGACACAGGAGGCTCTTGTTCCAGGCACTTTCTACCATTAAACCCCTTTGAGGTTAAAAAAAAATCCTCGTGGAGAAACTTATGGATGAGAATGACACATTGGCACATGGCCGGGCAGCCTAATTATTTCTATTTGTCATCGTCAATATCTTCTTCTACCCATCCTTTCATTTCTTCTTTGCTTCCTTGGTTTTCTTTCTTGTTTGTGGGATTTGAAAATTTTGATCAAATATATATATATCCAGAAACAAAAACCTCCCTTTCAAACACCTCATATGATTGCCACGTGACATGTAGAAAATACTAAATTGTCATTTTGTCTAACCATAACTAAATTACTAAATCTCCCTTTGCACTTTACGTGACACCTTTTTTTTTTAATTTTTTCTATATGTTTCATTCAACTAGAGTGGTTTTTTAAATTGAATTGATCAATTAGGTTTTTTTGTTACAAAGTGTCAATTTTGTTTTAAGCGTATACCCTTCGGATGAAACTTATTACAAAGCTATTAAAAATCTCCAAAACTAAGTATTGATTTGGCACGACTAATGGAGAACGTCAATAAATCATCTTACTAATATTTACATTTATTAGGATGCTTTTATATTTTATCTAACATTTACTTCAACACATATATTCGATTAAGCTATTTATATTTAATAAGTAACACTTATAAAACATTTCTAAAACATACATGGCGAAATACAATTTTTTTTTTTTTTTTGCGAAATACAAATATTTCTATGATCACACTTATAAAACATTTCTAAAATATATCGCTCCAAATACAAAATTTTATTTTTTTCAAATATAAACATTTCTAAGATTTACAGATAGACTGGGCCAGGGTTGCGCATTGCGCGACCAGACATCACTAGTATATATATACATATATATATATATATATATATCCGCAAGTCCTTTTTTATTCTTCAATGTGCCTTGATCTTTATTACGAAAATAATAAAACAAACGTGACCAGCATTTTAAAACTTAATTTGCAGGTAAAGAATCCATGCTTAAAACGTCGCTGTTTTGATCAGTTTGGGATTTATTTACAAAATATCAGAGATCTAACCAAAATAATAATGATAATAAAAAAAAACCCAAAATATCAGAGAGCTTTACATCCCCGCAAAATATCATTCATCACAATCAATTAATCAGGAGACAGATTGAATGAGCCAATGACTTTTTGGTTCTTATCCGACGAAAAAGGCAACTGTTTTTACACTTTTTTAGCGAATTATATATATTATTAGGATCCCACCTCCTTTCCAGTTCAACCAAAAACCATAAACCAATAATTGAAACGAAAAGGGAGATGGTTAAACTACGCAAGATAAAATATATTAATTTTTCTTTTTTTTTTTTGTTATCACATCTCTATTTGAGAATATAACCGGCACGATATGATACAAACAAACATTTATATTATTTGAATTATATTTTTCCGATGAGGTTCTGGCCGGATCCATGCTATGAAACCAAGCTTTACTACATAAACACAACCTTTCATGACAACTGATTTCAGTCTTTGATTATTATTATTTTTTTTTTCTCCCTAGCACATTATAATTGATATAAGTGGTTTATGAAAAATTTATGAAAATTCTTTCCTCCCGAAGTAACTAAGGACGTCGACCAAAGCACAATTGGCTGCATTCATTAATTTAATTCCGCGTCCGGCCCTGTAGGGATCAAAATCATTCAGCAGAAGCACTTTCCATTACAATAAGGGTCACAAATGATCTCAAGGAGTTTGCGCCCCACATTTATGAAAGAGACCTCGTCATTATTAACCGAAGAAGGGTCGGCTCCTTCGAGTTGATCATCACCGAACAAACCGCCGCCATCTGCCTGTGCGGCCGCCACAATGGCAATAAGGAGAGTGAGGAACGCTGCAATTAGTATGAGAACGTTGATTTTCGCCATCGACGATGATGAATGAAGATTTGGAGAGTATTATTAATTTTTTCTTAGTCAAGTTTTTGGTATGGAGATAAAGAGTTAAGGGTCTTATTATATAACAAAGTTTAGGGCGGTTAAGGCATATGTAACTCGGTAGAAACGGACAGAATTGAGGATTAAATTCTCCTCCCATTTACTAAGTGGAATGACAAGAAGCAACAAACCTTGAAGAAGATTGTTCGATTTATTGGATTTATGGAATGTATAGAGAGAAGTAGACCTCAAATTTAACTGAATCCAATTGTCGCACAGACTGGCCATTTTTAAAGCACGTGAATATCATCAAATGGTAGCGGAAATATCAACAACATAGAACGAGTCATATGAGTTTGCTTAAATTAATTTTAATTAGCGGTTAAATTAATTAACACGAACACTCTTTTCAACAGGGGGTGTAGCTCATATGGTAGAGCGCTCGCTTCGCATGCGAGAGGCACGGGGTTCGATTCCCCGCACCTCCACTTTTAAAATTCTATTTTTCTTTTTAAAGGTTTTCAAAAAGATCTCCATTACATATTTGGAATTTCATCCATACTCTTCAGATGAAACCCATTTGCCATCTGGAAATCCCGATTGAAGATTTTAGACCATAAAAGCAGCGGAGACAATGCATAATGATTCCACTGCACAGGCTACGTTTTCAATTGCAAAATTCTATATAATTCTAGATTTTTATAAGCACTGATCTTGTTCACACAGTCACACTTCCACATAAAATAGTCAACCAACTTTGGTTGTTACACAGAGGTGCGATGTTCTTCGCACCGTATATGTAGATTCTAATGTTCACAATATTCATTATAACACAATACCACACCTAACTGATTCTTCAAATTACAAGGCAAAAGGAAGAAAAAAAAGAAAAAAAGGGTCCTTCGCGCATAATCAATATGGGTTTGGTTAATCAAGGACAAAAGCAGTCCACAAGCATGGACACTGTAGCATCCGAGTACTGCATATTCTGCAACTTCTTGGCTTGCCAATACGAGGCTAAGTTGTTGAACTTGGACTTCATCAACCCAGTAGTAGTAGTAGTAGTAGTAGTAGTAGCCTGATCATGATTTTCTGTGGCGCTTTTTGTCGAGGTTTCGCCTTTCTTTGAGAAAAAGGTGAATGTGTCGCCATGATCACCCTTTTCACGCAATTTAGCAACTTCACCGGTCCAAATATCTATGAGGCTAGACATCTTCACAAATTTAAAGATGGTTGTATAATGGGAGAAGAAAAATATAGGGTATGTATGCTTTTCTTTTTTAAGTAATATGCAATATTGAGATTCTGGAATGAAGTTGGTTGACTATCATGGATGCATATATATATATATATATATAGTAGTGCTTCAATGGAAGAGAATGGAAGGCGCACACAGTAGTTAGCCATTTGACTTGGGGTGGCGCTGCTGCTTCAATTTATCAGATTATGAAAAACCACGAGTCTTGGAACCCCTTGTATATTTTTTTACATTTTGCTGCCGTCACTGGTATTTTAGTCCTTCCGGTTTTAAATTGCCAAAACCGCAGCTCCCCCACACCGCCGGTATTGGACCTGTTCATTTATAATCCATCCGTCCCACTGCAAGAGTCCACCATGTTGAGAGTCCCTTTGTAAGCTCTTCCTAATTTAATATATGAACTTTTCAAAAAAAAAAAAGAAAGAAAAAAAGTCCCTTCGTCCATTTTATTAACTGCAACACTTCTATTGGTTAAGAAACAAATAAATAAAAACCATAATTATTTTTTAGACGGAGATAGTATTCTTTATTACACTATCTTTTTCAAACAAATAATAATAATAATAATAATAATAATAATAATAATAATAACTAGCGAATAGAAATCTTGAAAGCCTCTCATCACCCACACTAAAAATACATCGACTAGTATGATCCAAAATAAAATTATAGTTCATTGACAGAGGGGAAAATAGTGTTCGGGCACAGCTGCAAATAGAAAACATGTACTACTTGAAAAACTAGTGTCCCAAGACAGATATGGAACAGCCCACAATCAAGGAGCGAGACTACTCTGAAATCCCACAGAATCCATCATTCTTCTGACTGATCGATCATCACGGGGGAGACCAGCAAGCAGGACAGGATGGCGCAGATGGGTTATCTCAATTTCAATCTTCTAGAACTGGCGTAAACAGAAAGGACCTCGCCATGCAAATTGCCACATGCAACTGCTCAAAAATCTCAACTTCTAAGCGCATTAAACAGATCCGAGATGGAAACCATCAGCCCAAATGATACTGGTGTCAATGATACCACCAATGCAACAATATCTTAGCACCAAAAGGAGAGCTCAAATTTGCAAATCTTGCCAGCAATTGATAAACAAGTAAGAGTTCACTTTAGTGTGAGAAATGCAATTACCCAACTCTGAAGCATTGGAACCCACTTACACCAACCGCAACGAGGCAAGCACCTGGAGCGATGTCCGCTGCCATCACTGGGATATTCATCTGCAATACATCCCTGCAGGATTGGATAATGCCCAGTCTTCAAAAGTATCCTCTCTTGCATTTTGTCAATACACAAGTTGTCCTCACCTTCTGCAAGAGAAACTAGTATTTTGGTGGAGAAGCGTGGTGTGCTATGGCAATCGTTGAACCCATGGGCTGTAGCAGCAGATTAATACTTGAAACTCTTGCCATTTGAAAATATGAGAACAGCCACTCCAGAGCACATAAACATTATTTCACGGTTGTGTTTCATATGAAGCATTAGAGACAATCATCATCATAGAGGCTCAAATCCATGGTGTCCAACCTTCATACATATTACAAAGATTATCCACGCTCGTTGCTTGCTTAAGCAAAAAGTCCACTTGCTCTTCAATACTAATTTCCCTGGAAAGAGAAGACTCCTCATTAGAGATAGATCAATCAACATATACCAATAAATCCATAAGAAGTAGTTACCTTTGGTCCGTGATATCCCGTCCATCCAGTTTCATCTCTACCCGCCTTAATATCGACAGCGCATAAGCATTTTTACCTTGGGGATACAGAAATTTGAAGACTTGTAATGACATAGGGCTCTTTGATCTTCCAATGTAAAAACATAAAGATCCTAACAAACATTAACTGATAAAAGGAAATGCACAATGAAGCGAGAAAGGCATTCATTGTTCGAGATTTGGGCATTCATCAGTGTTCAACACTTGTTATCGAAGGCGTTGACTTTGAAGTGATCTAAAAACAATAGTAAAACTATTTCATCCATGCTATTAAAATGGTACGAGGACAGGCCAGTATGATGATCTTTGCTACATGTCAGGAGTGCAATTAAGTTAAAAGAATTTCTATGACATGAAAGCGGTAGAGAACCCAGTATCTTTGATGAAAGTGGTAGAATTGAAAGAAGTGCAAGTAGAATTGACAGGTGTAAAAAAATGTCTCTTACCCCTAGCAGCTTGGTTGCTAATTTCTTTACTAACGAAGGAACTATCATCCATTTCCTCCTTAGTCTTGTCTTGGGAAATCTCATCTCTAAGAGCATATTCTTGTCCAGAACCAACCTGCTTTGAAGAAATCAAATGCAGTCAATGTTGGGATACAGTACTTCTCAACAGCGTTAAGCATATACCTGGCTTTATATATGAACAGTATTGAACCTGCATGCTTGTAGAGCCAGATGGACTAGAAGAAGATTTTTCATGAAGGTGGTGTGAAACTTCTTCCTCCTGTATGCTATTAGAACTAGGCAAAAGAGGATCCGTGACATCTGAATGGTTGGAGCCACCTGCAAGACTAGATCCAGTTGATGTAACAACAGCATCTGAACTTGTACTTGAGACACTTTCAGGAGGAGATATCCAATCTTTTTCCTGCAAGGATAGTTCACTCAGGTCCAGAATATCTCCATCCTTTTCTCCATCACGTTCAGACAGCACCTCGCTCTCCCCATAATACACAGGGTTATCACCTACTCCTACAGTATCTGGTCCTGACAAATTATTCTCTTTAGACTTATCTTCTTGCCTATCCCCCAAACCTTCAAGGGCCTGCAGAATAAAATAAATCCTCAAACACATTAGGTCTAGCCATCATGGAAATAGAATCCAGTACATTCAACAGATGTTTAATATTACTTTATGAAGGTTTCCTGCATGAAGACTGGCAGTGCGGGCTAGCCGTGTCAAAATGGTATAGAGTCCCTTCACAGAAAATGTGAGAGATGGAACCAAAGGCTTGATAGCTCGACAAGTGTCCTTTGTTCTTGAATAATAAGACTGGAATATGGCTTGTCCATGGATTGGGGAAATATCAGTTTTTGTCTCTCGTTCCTTCCCCATAGCATCAGTCATTGCTGCAACATCCTTAGATAAAAGAGCTTCAAGTGGTAGCAAAATGGCATTCACCTGTGAACAAATAAAAGAGAAGTTCAATCCAATGCATCTCTATGTGCATTAAGTTTAACTACAGATAATCGAAAGAAACTTTGCTTTTTAATTAGCATTTAATGCATCCACGAACAAAAAAGAAAAGGCGTGCTTAAATGGGGAACAGATCATTAACATATAGACGATTTCAGATTCAAGATTGTGCTGCCTAAACTGCAAAAATTAAAAATGGTCATTTTAAGCAGATTTAAAAAGCACGTCGGCTTTAAGGGAATAACTTATTTCACATTATCCCTTTTTGCAAGTTTTCTATCCACATGCTGGGGCACTTTCATCTATGTCAACAGTTCACTTTCCCCTGAATTATTCATGCAGATAATTCAACTAGATTCATACTTACAGCCACCAGACGTTAAAAAAAAAATTTTAAAAAAGAAGAAGAAAAACACTTAATTTAACCTTTACTTTTGTATTTCGGTTAAAATTATCATCTATAATTTTTGCACATGAGGAATATGACAATTACAAATTCCCAAATCAGTTTAGGTACAGAATTAGTGATCTGCTTTCAGTGTTTAGGATCTGCTAGAAAAAGTCACAAAAAAATTCAAAGAAGATACTCAATTGTTATATATATATATATATATATATTTAAAAACACAAGAATAATAATATAAAAAAAAAGACTATAATAATATTGCTCTAGTCTGAATAACGATTTTTTTTAAACCCTAATAAATGGTAAGCTTATGGGCAAAGGACCATGGTAAGTAGTTATACTTATGGTTAAAGTCTTACATATTCTGAGAATCTATATTGTGAGCTCATACAAAAGTAGCAAATTCAAATCAGTAATATCTTAGGTACGCAATGCTACTATATGGTACCACTCTAGAGGGCAGAGTTATAATCTTTTGGAAGTAAACAAGCCAAAAAATCTGAGCAGAGAAATATAGAGACCTTCGAAAGATCATCCATAAGGGAGGAATGTAATGCAGCAGCCTCTTTTCCCAAGCTGTGAACATCATGTAGATCTTCAGTTATTGCCAAGACCTACGGAGAGAAATCAGAAGTTTATAGGCAATGGAATTTTTCATACTATAGTCTGAAATTACAGGAAAGAGTACAGTTAGTGCTATAGCAATAAACATAATACTACATCGATTTCAAAGATTCAAGTTAAGCTAGTGCGATGAAAGAGCTATACTTCCTCAAGCATGGAACCACATTCAGTAGTCAAAGTCGTATGGCCTTTAGTAATGCCTGCAAAAGCTGAGAGTGCTACACTGGCTTCATGGGCACAATCCCTCATAGCAATAAGAGTGCTTTGCAGATCATCTGCGGGAAAAGCCAGGTATATATTTTGAGGATGATCCCTAAAAGTAATTCCAAAGGATCACGAGACAAGCAAACATGGCTACTTTAACATTGTGATTGTAGCAAAACAAACAGAAATATTGCCTTTAGGCTGCTACAATTAACTACATTAGACTGATGGAAGACGAAAGAATGAAGTCATATCATGAAAGAAAATTCTCAAAAAAGTCTAGCACATATCATCAGCCGAGGCCATAAACACATGAACTTAGACACTCCCAAAATACAGAAGTTTCTCAACATGACTTAGCCAACAAATATAAACACACAACATAAGTGATCATTGTTAAAGTCGACTTACTGGATTACTGTATAAAAAATTAAATTTAATTAAAGAATGGAAAAGATGAGAAAAAACAATCAGTGTCAGATACAAATCTAAACTCAAGCTAGTATTTGGAAGGAAAAAACACAAAAATGTTGCCAGAAGATGTAGCACAATCAACAATTTCAACTTAATACAATTAAATACATAGAAAACCCTTGGCAAATTCAGAAACCATTTGACTTTGAATGGATAAACAGAATTAGGGCATTTAGAAAATCCAATTTTTAAATTCTATGGCCTACACGAAAATCCATGCGAAATACAAAAAATATGATGTCCTTCCTCCATTTGACTCACTCGGTTCTTAATTCTTCTTTTTTTTTTTTTAATTTCTATTTTTTAAAATTGTGATACAATGAAGGAGGCTGTTTTCCACACACCAATAAATCCCAACCCCACCCTAAATAGGACCTAGTCCCTTGGTTTCTAATTCTTAGGATTCTCACTATAGCCAAATAGGTTCAACGTTCTAATATATCCTTTATACCTAAAAAAGGAATGGATACTGAGTTCATTACCTGATACCGATTTCACCTTAACAGAAGCAATATTGAGTTCATTACTTGCAGAAAACAAACCATTAGAAGCAGCTTCCATGTTGCTTTGAGCAAACTTCCACTCTTGTTCAGCACCTGAAAATGGAAAAGATTCACAGTACTGAAATAAACCATAAGGACAGGATATAACCCAATGATGAACTACGCTACAATCCACAAATGAATAAAAAGAAACTCTAGTTCTCACGTGTGAATGAATGGTAAGTTATGTCCAGTTTTGTCAGAACATTTAGGTAAGTTTGCTGCCAGACTCTGCCATCAGAACCAGTCCCCAAAGGATAGAATTCTTCTGAGGTCATCATTATTCCATCCCTCGATGCTTCAAATTCCAATACCGAGACACATATTTTCATTATTTCTGATGCTTTTTCTCTGGCTTCCCATAACAATTGACGCCGTCTCACTAGATGATCATGAAATTCAGGAGGAATACTAGAGTTCCTTGAAACTGCATTATAACCAGGACCACCACAAGCCCACACCATAGCTCTCTCAAGCTGCCCTTCAGCTGCAACAGAAGCTTGCTCGCAAGCCTGTAAGCTCTTCAACGTTCCAGATATTCTCGAAATTGATGATTGTATACTTTCCACCATTTTAGGCCTACTAATGTTTAAAATACCTGGAAAGAAATTATCGTGGCTAGCAAGAAACTTATGCAATATAAGCCTATTATTCTTCAAAGGATTTAATGGAATATCATGCATCCATTCAACCTGAAGAATTTCAAGGCAGACTTTTAGGAGGGACTCTTTTAAATTGTTTATATGCTTTTTCATGAAAGAGGCTGCAGATTGTGCTGCTCTCACTGTTTCATGAGCATTACAATATTCCTCAAGCATGGCTTGCATACTAGTTAACATCCCTGGATCTGTCTTCATGGGGTCAAATGGAATGTCGTTTGCTGATTCGTTTACATGCTTTAAGGTTTCAATCTCTGAGCTTAATCTTGCCAGTAACATAGGAGCAAGCCGCTCTTTCAAGTAGTACCCAACGTGTTTTAGGAGTTGGAGCTCAATCCTTTCCTTAACCACTTTAACTAGCTGATCAAATCCCAAATTTTGATCCATGAATGAAGCTACCCCATGAGAGCAAGAATCAAGAAATGAATCTACCACAGAGACCTTCCATATGAAAAATGCATGGTTGCTCGGTATTGTTGAAAATCTCCACACCAAATCAGATGTTGGACATCCAGAATCTATTAAATCTGAGGGGCGAGAAATACCACTTGAGCCAGGTGAAATTGATACATCAGATAAAGCCAGTGCTTCATCAGCTGATTCCAAGTCAGAGAAGGGTTGCATCAATGCAGAGAGAAGGGATTTACTTTTTGAACTAAGTGGTTCCACCTGTTGTTCACTGCTGATTAGAGACTGCAAAAGATGTTCAGAAGACAACAAAGCACTTATAGTGCTCGATTCTTTCTTGACAAGAGTGATATTTCGCAAGTCCTTCTGATTCCATGTCTGATGAAGCTTATCCAGCTGAGCTCTGCATGCTTCTTCCTGGGTGGCAAGCTCCTCAGCTTCTTCCCAAGACAGATGATCTCTACTCTGGACAGCTGCTTCTTCAAGAGCCAACTGTTGCTCTGTAATGAGACCAACCTTTACAAAGTAATTCTGCTCAAGTTCCACTAAAGAAGCCTTCTCTAATTCTACTTCTATAAGTTGCTCCAGAGATGTGTCAATGGATCCCCTGATTTGCGAGACTGTCCCCAATATGTCCATTACTTCTGAATTGAATGAAACAAGGCATCTCATTGCTTCTGGTAGAACAACTTCGGTCATTTGCTCAACAAACCTTTTGCAGCAAAGTAGACTTGTCTGATATATTGAAGCCCAGTTGTCCTCCTGAGAGCAACTTCTGAGATTTCTACTATCATTACCCGTGGAGATATCCCCAGTAAGATGCTGATTGAGTTCAGAAAGTAACCCTGCCACAAGTACGCATTTCTCTAATTGCCCTTCAAACTCATTGATAAAGCTTCCAACATCAGACTCTTGTTTATTATCCGGATATCCAGCAGTGCAATGACCCAGGCTATTGATTATTGCTTGCTTAACGTCATCATACAAAGTTATGACGGCAGAATTAAGAATGTTTAGCACAGCTGCCTTCTTTTCTTCAGCATCTCTCTGCAGTCTAGCATCCCCTAGAACTTGAAGATTCAATGATCCCACAGCAATTGCATCAGTTTTCCTCTCAAACCCAGAATAATGAAAATAGTTCATTAAAGCAGACAAAAGCCGAGCCTTAGCTTCTGATTCAGCCTCTGGCCCAATAGAGGTCAGAAGTTCTGTATACCTTTCATGCATTTTCTCTATTTCTGCAGCATACTCCCCTACCTTACGACTAAGATCGTCATATTTATTCTGAACAGAATTGTACCTATCTGCATGTAGACTGGCAATCAGTTCCCCAGCTTTTCTTCTGGAAAGGGATAAAACATCGGTCGAGAGAGTGTTCACTGACGACAGCTGCAGAACTTGTGCCCAACCATGGACTGGGCTGGTAGTAAGGTAATTCAATGGTAAAATCCTCTGTAGAGCCAAGGAGTATGTTTGTAGTGATGTAACTGCAGAAGAAAGACCATGATCAAGCTCATCCATCATTAGACCAACTTCCCTGTCTATCTCGCTGCATTGAGCTTGTGTAGGTTCAGGAACTACCGTCAAAGGAACACCAGCCAGGAGAACAGCAGATGTGAGAGAGAAAGATTCCTCTGTATCAGTAAGCCGCATCCAGGCTTTTATTTCTGGAATAGTATTGCTTCTTAAAGCATCAAGTATCCTTCCATGTTGCTCAATCCAACTTGTAGCCTCTTGGGCTTTCTCCATTACTCCAGCCTGAGCTTGAGAAAATTCACGAGCGTGTGTTTCCAACGAGGCACGGATTGTTTCAGAATGGCGTGACGTTTCCCCGACAACAGACTTAGCAGATGTCTCGTGAAGAACAAGATTGGATCTCTCCTGTTCAACACGATGAAACAAAGCCGAGACAATCTCATACTGGTTTAAGATGCTAACAAATCTCTGAAGATGCAACATGAAAATCGTTAAGGGTAAGATGGCATCCAAGTCAAATAAAACTAAAGGTTAGATGATAAAATAAGGAGGATTCACAAACCTCAAGGGCAGATTCAACAGCAGGTAAGACAGACAGCAAGAGATCATGATGCTCCTAAACACGTTATAGAGGGTCTCAATTGTTAGAAAGATAATTATTATAAACTGCACCTATTATTCCATGCAATAATTCCAGCAAAAACAAAATGTCATACACTCATATCAAACCCTTTTTTAACTAATGGAGCTTCCTGAAACAAAGTAAAATTAATAATAACAAGCAATTCAGGTGAATAATATCAATAGATCAACAGCTTCCCAAATTGGAAAGGCTCTCATAATATCCACAGCCTGAAAAATACAAATCCTCACCACAAGCATATCATAGTTAATGTCTCAGATGGCGATAATACCTGCAATGGTACACGAATTTCTTGTACGCGCGATGCAAACAAACTTAGGCTGACAGCAAGTTCCATGCCCTTTCTCTCCTCGCCAACAATTGCTGCATCATCATGGAAATCTCCACGTGTCCATTCAACAAGAGGATCCCAAACAAAAACTTCTAACAACATCAGGATGATATCCTTATTCTTCTTCAGAACACCAAGAACTGCTTCACAATTAGCTCTAAAGGCACCTTCTATCCCTGTAAGTCCTAAAGCTGCTTCAATAGTCTGAGTCAGGCGAAATGGTACAATCTCAGGAACTTTTAATCTTTGGCCTTTATCAAAACACACATTGTAATCAATGTGCAAAATGTCGCCACTAGAAAAGTCTACTAGAATATTATCCAAGTGTCTGTCTCCCAGGCCAAGCATGTGTCCAACAATGCTCATTGTGGCAACACTGCTTGAGAACCTACAAGCGAATGGAACTTACACAGTTAGAAAGAAGCGAACATAATAAGAGCAGTCCTTAGGATAAAATCAAAAGAGGATTCTTTAATCAAATTTAAAAAAAGATCAATCTATCAGGAAAAACCCAAAAGCATTCAAATCGAGACTCCATCCCATTTCGGCTCATTCAAGGAACACTTTGACCAGAGGAAAAAATAGAGAGTCAGAAACAAAGATGAGTACAAAGAGGGCTACTCAACAACCAGCCAATGTTATTAGGTGAACTTACCTTCTGCTTTGAAGAGGCATATAATGAGAATAGTGAACTCTAAAAAAAAGTATATCTGGTCTGCCACCTTAGGTTATACGGTGCTAGCAAACACAGAGATACCGTCCTAAACCCCTAAATACCCTTAGTATGTAGAAGATGAGCTCAAAAGTGGCTCTCAAGCAGAATCATCTCTTTCTTGGGTAGAACCAACAAAAGCAACTTTTCATAAAAGTGGTCGCCCACAAAGCTCAGTAGCAACAACTGCAGTTCCATAGGCCAGTTATTATTTAGACAAAATGGCAGCTACATCGCTCTATTCAGATTTCAACAGCAAAGCAATTAAACTGGAAATTCAACATTCATGATTGAGATCTTGCTTTCTTCTTACCAACCATGACCGAACAATGGTACCACAAAGCTCAGTACTAGCACTTCAAAGCTTTGGCAAAGTTAGGACCAAAAAAAATGGAAACAACAGCTACAACCACCCTATTTCCCAATAGTGGGGTTGGCTATATGGATCATATGTCGCCATTGAGCCCGATCAATACATGTATCATCATGTAACTTTAAATATGTTAAGTCATCTTTTATAGTTTCTTTCCAAGTTTTCTTAAGTCTACCCCTACCCCTTTTAGTTTGAGTTCTTGGCTCCATAGTTTCTACCCTTCTAACTGGGGCACCTACGCACGTGACTGAACCATCTTAGGTGAGATTCTCTAATTTTCTCATCCATCGGCTCTACTTCTACTTTCTTTTTAATACACTTATTTCTAATTTTATCTAACCTAGTATGCCCACATATCTATCTTAACATTATCACCTCAGCTACTCGCATTTTTTGTTCATTTTCACAAAAAAAAAAAAAGGGTTGGAAACAGAAAGTGAAAAGACATACAGTACTATATTTAGTTAATTAATAGGTGAAAGTGCAAATCATTATTCAGACCTCTTCAACTTCGAGCTAAAGGATTGGAATCCTTCACTGGCACACCAAAGCTCCTGATGGATAAGTTGCTTAGGAGCCTCCTCCATAAGATCCAAAAGCACTTTACGCTTGACTTCATGGGGCCAGTCTCTTCTTGAGATTACTCTCCTAATACCTTTCTCCTTAAGTGCAGGAATGATTTTCCCATAGAACATGTCAATTGGCCGTGGAACAGGTGGCGGAACAGCACTTTTTGAATCACCAGGACCCGAAGTAGAAAGTTGTGCCTGCTGTACGCGGTTTTGCCAGGACTTGAAAACACTGTAGATGCTTATAACATTGTCCACCCACTGGATGAGACCAGCTCGACCACTTATTGGTGTCACAGAGTAATAACGAACCCCGAGAGGTTGACCACGAGTTGCTGGAGATGAATGAAGGAAACCATTTACAGCTTGCAGCAGCTGCATTATTCGAGCATCAAGGCGTAGGTCTTCGCGGCCTTTTAAGAGATAAGTGTACTTCTGACCATCAGAACCCAGGATATTGATCTTTTTCGGCTTGGTTTTGGTTGATAAAATAGTTAGCTGGTCTGAGAAAGAAGCAATTGTGACAATGCCTTTAGCATCACTGGTGTCATTCTTCTCTGAATCAGATACAATCATTTGCTTCTCAAGACCAGGCATTGGAGCTTCAGATGAGGATAATTGAGCCAATTTAGGAGCAACATCTGCTAGAGATACTGATGACTTTCTCTGGTAAGATGACAAGGAAGCAGCAATGTTCTCAAATGGACGCCAAACATCACCTAGGGCTGCAGCAGATGCAGGTGGAGTCTTAAAGTTTAAGATGGCTGCCTTAATCTGATCCCCATACTCCTCATGGAACCACATCTCATGAGGCGTCTCTGGCTTCTTAGAAGTAGAAGCCAAGCGACGCTCTAAGACCACAACCACAGGGGCCATCATGGCAGAGTATTTTGCAGCATTTATCTTACTCTTTTCACCATGACTAAGAGTTGGATTCTCAGCAATACGTGCAGCCTCCTCTCTCAACAGATTTATCCGCCTCAAAACATCTAGTAAATTTTACACTTGAGAAGTTTAACAAGGCAGAAGGAAGAGAAAAGAATGAAGATAAACAACCTTAGGCATGGCCTGATAAGTATGACACGGTGATGACAAAACAGACCTAACCATTTAGCTTTTATCATAAGATGTAAATTCATTTGCCAACAATGTGTGACAGGGTTATGCTAATGAACATAGTGGAGCAACTATACAGAACAACCTGAAAACATCTAAAAGTGGCAGCCAGTTCGCTCAGCATCATAGTGTCTATACTAGCAGAACATTACGATTCAGTAAACACATAACAACATTGTAATCATCCTACTCAACAAACCATTTGCTGAAAGTATGGATGAAACCCATCACAAAGACACCTTACGTAAAATGTAATAATCTACCTGAACCTTTAAGCATTGGAAAATAACAGCATTCAATACCAAGGGAAGATACCAAACAAATTTTAGGGAGCAATGCAAGAAGAAGTTGGGATTTCAGGTATATCTGGCAACTTTTAACAACAAAACCCTTCTGCATCTTCCACCCATATGCAAATGGCAAAACAACTCTTTTTACAGTACAAAAGAACTATCAACAACATAATCCATAAGCAGAAAGAAGAAAATAAGAGAAACTATGAGTAATTCTTACCAGCATGAAGATCCTGAAGGGTGCTTACCCACAATTCCTCCCAAAGAACAGTCACATTCTCAAGTTCTTTTATAATAAGCTGCGCGTCCTGAACAAGAATTGGATAGAGCTTTTTCTGCAAGTGACAAACAAACAAGTTCACACTTTCAGGATCAAATGATAATAGAGATAATTACTTCAAGTGGGGCGGAGACTCTCAATTCCCTACAAAACCTAATTCTTGCAACAAAATAATCATGCCTTTTACTCTGGGACAGCCTTCATAGGGAAAAAATGGGGAGAACATTTAAAGTAACAATTTTTAAATTTTATTTTATTTTTTTTGTAAATGAGAAATTAACTGAATTACTAAAACTAATTGGTATATCATTATGATACTAAATCGTTAATTGTGAGACACTTTATATAGCAAAACATGAAAGGTCATGGTGTGATAATAGTTACAAAAGCAACTCTTCCAAAAGGAGACTTTCACCCTAGAAGAAATTGTTCAACCCTCTTTGGAAGATTCATAATAATAAGAAAATAAACTAGAAGTAATAGTCCAACACCAACTTCAAGTGACCAGATTTGACTCAGTTAGAAAGGAGACAAGTAAAAAATTTCGCCTTACCAAACAAGCCAGTATCTGCAAAAGCTCCTCAGAAGTTTCCTTCTCTTGAGTATTTGCATCAACAAGAGCAGGATACAGTATGGACCAAGGAGACAATTTTGCCAGCCGGACCAGTAATGATTCCAACTGCTTCCTCACCAAATGTTCCGGGTGACAACTTAGACGAGCAAGTAGTTGAGGTGTTATTTCCTTCAAGAAAGAGACAACACAATTTAGAATATTTATCCATGTTATTTGTATAAAATCCAACAAAAGTAACTCACCTGCCACGGTAACAAAGTTACAGTTGAAAGTGCAGGCCCAAGAGAATCTTTCAACTCAACTCCATAGTTGAGAAGAATGTTCAAAACATATAAAGTAGCTCTCAGCGTATAGCTCATAGACTTATTACTCATCCCACTTTCCAGGCCAGAAAGTTGGCAATCAAAAGGGTTAGAAGATGAATATGAAAGGTAGTTGATAAAAGCTTGAGCTGAAAGTCCAAAGAGGAATACCCTTCTCCTTCTCAAAGACCACCAAACATCAACTATATCACCAATCAAGGACATCACTAATGGATTGTGAAGGGAAACATTTGCAGCAGACAAGCACTTTTGCAGCTTAGATGTTAGCACGGTAGAGAGGGATTCACCTGTGTTATCTTCCTGTCCAGGTGCTTGTGCCGCAGCTTCAATAATGTCTATTATCTGCCCAAACAAGGGGTTGACATCATTTTCCTTTTCCAATAAATTGTCAAAGTCTTCTGATTTCTCATTCAGAACTTCTGCAGTTGATCTTCTCTGAACTAGTTGCAAGATAATCTCTTTCAATTTTAACTGCTCATTCTCAGTTAATGTTAAACTTTGATGCAAATTTTCAGAACCATGAGCAGATGAAAAACAAAAGGAAACCAGAGGCACATTGTTGTTTGCAGAGAGAGAAGAATTTGCTTTTGCATAGCACCAAGAGGCATAAGAAATCCAAGATTTACCCATAGCAGGACAGAGTCGAGTAGAAAGCTCTGTAACAATGCCAACAAGCCCATCAATAATAGCGTCAACACGAACTTTTACTTCCACATTATCATCTCTCATGCTGGACATCTCAGTGACATTCAAGTCTTCTTGCAACTTCAGAATAACATCTTCCAACCTCGGATCAGAAGAATTTCTTTGCAACCATTTCGACAGTTTCAAGCATGCCTTAGCCTTCATAACATTTTCAAATGAATGAGAAACCACAGAAGAAGAAACAATGCTAGAACGCAAGAGTGACCAAAGATTGAGTAATGCATCTTCAAGCTTGTCTTCAGCATGCATCAACAGGATGTCCTGGTACTGCAAAGTAGAGATGATATCATCGTGGAGATTTCTATCAAGGCAGCTTTCTACATGGACCTTGAGGTAGGAGTTCAAACGATTTGCCATCAGAAGGTTTCTTTGCTTGCAAGCTAAATTCAGCAGGTCCTTACAAAGTTTGAGAGTTACTGTTGATGATGGTTGTGTGTTTTGATAAACTCGTAGAACTTTCAGCCATAAAGAGCAATCTTGCTTAATCCAGTTGATTGGAGACTGCACTGCTTCAATGTAAGAGCCAAACAATGACTTAAAATGCTTGCTTTGGCTGCCCCCTGGGTTGCAGATTTCTTCAAGTGCATGAATGCAGTATAAATGGTTGACATGTGGTGCTGCCTCTGCGAGTCCATCAAGGGGGAGAACAGTCAATGTTTCATTAAGCATTGACTTGGCCTTCATCAATTCCTGAGGTACCTTGTCCATTTTGCCCTCTCTGTGGAAAAGCATCGCCTGTAAAAGCATTTGCTCACTTCTTTGCAAGGCTAACTTAGGGTCAAGTGTGAGTTCACTGCTACTTTTTGGGGTCAAATCAAGAGCAGCCCATGATGCCTGCAAATCACCATCATCAAAGCGAGCCAAGGATTGAATTGAATTTATTTCATTTCCTGCAGTAGTTAGAGCGCCCGAATAGCTCTTTCCAGCATGTTTTGATCGAAGTGCCTGCAACTCCAACAACCAGGAATCCAAGGACTTCCAATCAGATACTGCAGAGTAACTTTCAATAATACGGGCAATAGCAAACTGTACACCTTCGGAACCCATAGACCCAAGTGAATCTTCAGTCTGTAGCAGATGAATAAAATGAGCAGCAGCCTTCTCATATTGGCCCAGCGCTTGATAAACAAGTCCACTAATCCATGAGAAGTTTTCTACTAATTGATCATCTATTAGATATTGATTTTCCTCGTCAAACAAAGGGAAGAAAACCATAGTTGCCCACTTTTGTAGACCAAGTAATGCTTCTGGTTCACGATTCCTACACAGGGCTAATGCCATCTGCCTTGCAACCCGCAAGACGTCTCCTTGAAGCCTACCCCTTACATTTTGAAGAACTTCAGTCACCTGGTTTCTTGATTTGTCTTTCAAAACTGAAGCAAGAGAATTTTTTAGCTCCAGCAAACGTAATGTACAGTACTGGACTACAGCATCATGACACTGAAGGGCCAGTCCAGCATTCATCATCGGTTCACATATTCGAGAAAACCACTCCTCACAGACTTTCTTGTTTGCGCGAAAGAATACAGAACTCTGCCTCGACGGACAAGGCAAAACTGTCGATCCTTCATATGCATTGTAGACATTTTTCTTGAGAGCCTCGACAAAATCCAGTAACAATCTCATTGGCAACAAATGAGCATAAGAAGAACTAGTAATGGTCAAATTTCCATCACTTTGGTCAGAATCAAGCTGAATCACATGAGCAACATCCAGAAGCATTCTTTCCAGAGCAGCAAACGTTTGAGTAGGTCCACCTAGGTTGGTCCGAAGTCTTGAAGAAATACAATACCTAGCCGCTTCATTTATACCCCACCAAGCCCCTGACAGAATATTAACAGAGCAGAAACTTTCAAGAATATCTTCATCCAATTTGATATCCCACCAAATTCCTTGCACATCTGTATTTCCTACTTCCTCTAGTTGAGTCAGACTACGGTCCTTAGAGCTCCTGCAGGAACAGATTAATCGTTGAATCCAAGAAGAAAGGGGCACTTTCCACCTCTGAGATATGTAACTCAATATGGTAACCAGTTGCTGCGACCGAAGTTGTTGCGGTACTTGCTTAATCGCAAAGACTCTTTTCCAGTTTAACTTATGCTCCTCTGTTCCAACAACTCTAGTACTCCATGTGGTCATCATCCCATAATCATACATACCAGTTACATATATTGTAATTGGTAAAACCTGGGAAAGCAACCTAATAAATGCACTTCTGATCTCTATTTCAGGATCAGAAAGCCTCTCAAGGACCACCTCAGAAACAAAAGAAAAGTGTGAGGGATGGACCAATTTTGCTTCGAGAAGCATGTCAATAACCGATGCGACCAAAGATCTCACTTTCGTTTCCCTATCCGACGCAGAATTCAAAACTGAGAACAGCAAAGTCTGGATGCTCTCAACATATCCAGAGGCTTCACAAGGATAATGTGTCACCTTAACGTTCTCATATGCATAAATTACATTTTTGCATAATTTGACTAACCATTCTAAGGCTACTAATTTAATGGCTAAAGGAGATTCAGCTTTTAGTGATTTAACAAGGATAACAGAAAAATTTCTCAGGTGTTTCAAAATATATTTCGGATGGTCATTCTTGATATTTTCATTCTTTATTAGCTTTGGAGGAACTGGTCCAACAAAAGATTTCCCAGCTGTCTGCTTCCTCAAGGAATAGTTGCTCAAGAATTCAATTTCAGCAAGCTTTTGCAGTGTCGTGACAACAGCTACTTGCAATTCCACATAGCTTTTAAAAGGAGAGCCAAAAGGATCTAATTCATCCATAATAAATGCCGATAATTTCTCTGACCTATCACGACATAAGGAATCAAATTCTGCTTGGCCAATCATATTAAGACATCCAGAATCAGAAGCGCAAGTTAATAAGACTTTTAAATCAAAATGGATTAGAGCAAACAACTCTGACCGTGAATAAGATTTCTGAGCTGTAACCCTATCACCAAGGCCCACATTAACCCTACACTTCTTTAACACGGTATTCTTCAAAAACACTAGCTCCTCAATCAAGGAATTCATTGCCTTTTCGACAACTTGATTTTCAACATGTTGAAGCAAGAAAATATATGTGGCAGCTGCACTTCCAGTGATTAGGTGGTTTGGATGCAGACGAAGCTGAGATATAGGGGCATCAAATGCTAATATTTTCTGAGCAGATGACGGGAGAAGTCCAAGCTTTTGTAGTGACAGCAACTGTAAATTAGTTCTAAGGACCCCATGAATTTGAAAGGAAGTGATCTTTCTCATTCCAGAGACCTGAGCATTAACCATTTCCAAGCTCTGAAACAAAATATCAACTGCAATAGGGTAAAATGCTGAAAACTGATCGCCTAATATTTCTGCTAACAATGTCATGCACTTCCAAGAATCCTCAATCCATTTGGACCAACCAAATTTCCTTCCAATTAGAGACAAACATCCTAATAAAAGTGGAACCATTTTGCAAAGAGGTTCAGTAATCTGTTCTAGCATGTTCATTTCCAGCAACCCAGATGCTACAGATTGCAAAACTGTAGAAAAGCAACATAGCAAAGCAAGAAGCCTCTGAAATTGTTGAGGAGTACCAGGACCTCCATCCTGCAGTAACACGTCCATATCCCCTAAAAACTTTGACAATAAGCCCAAGGAAAACTGCATGCTATTCACCCAATGTTTCTGAAATTGCAAGAAACTATCCATTATCACACGCTGATCTGATTCGGCAATATCTGGTACCATGGCCCACCCAAGAAGCAGATCAACAATGTCAACAAAATGAGGATGGAAACATCGAGGGAAGTTCAAGGAAATTAGAGTTAAAACAGCAAGAAGTCTGTGCAGTAAATTCAGTGATGTCCTCTCATCTTCAAGAAGTTCCTGGCATGCTTTGAGAACAGGCAAAGCATATCTCTCCACTGACGCAACATCTCCAACACTAAGGAACTCGCGTAAACCCTCCAGAGCCAACTCTGCTGTTCCATTCGCAATATTACTAACCAGGGGCAAAGCCCAACCCATGAACCGATCAACAAAACCACTGAGTACAACATGATTCTGCCTTCCATTTGATGGAAGTGGGACTGAACACAGCACAGAGCACAGTGCTCCATATACTGTGGCAGCAGACTGGCGTACCTGATATGACCTATAGAGCAAAATCAACAAAAAATCCGCCAATAAGGATGCAATCTACGATCAGAACGAGCTAGCTCATAAAATCTACCCGACTCTCACACACTTCTATCAAGTAGATCACAAATGATTACACACAATACCTGCTGCACCAAAAAACTACAACGACAATCTAAAAATTACACATCTTTTATTAGCGATGCTCTACAAAATCATATGAAACCAATGCCATTCAGCAAAAATTACTTGACATATTCAGATGGAATGAACTTCAAAGCTTACCGTTTCCAATAACTGTTCTAAAGTTATTAATCAATTTTGATATAATTTACCAAATCTATTCCAACCATAGCAGTTGTCAGGTTTCAAACATCAAGTAATAAACCTTTACAAGTGGAGCTGAAATTCAGATTATTATAGTATCAGTTGATCACAAAAATAAGAAGAAAAACAATGCAGTTTTTTCGGGTGTGATCAACTTTGTTACAATCCTACAGTTTCCTCAAACAATGTTAAAAGGAGCTCAGCATAAAAGCTTATAATCCTTGAACCACAAAGGAACAAATGAAAAAGTTCCATCATAAAAGAACTGCAAAATAACTCTCACTGCATAAAGTCGAGGAGGCATGGAAGGTTATCCAATATTCCAATATCAATTAGACATACTGACAGAATCGATTACAGATACTCCTCCGAGAAAAAAAAATTAAAAAAAAATAAAAACGTCAAAAATGTAGGAAAGATTGAGCAGAAGAGATTACTTGTCAGATAGTAGTTGAGCTAGGCCTTGGGCAAGGAAAGAAGCAGAATGAGCAACTAAAATGGAGTTGGGAGGGTATAGGATGGCGCGGTGGAGTGACGTTGTGGCGGCAACGCGAGAAGACGAATCATCCTGTTCTGCGGCTGCCGAAGGAGCGGAACCGTTGACGGAACTTGGAGGTCCGGTTGCAGAAGTGGAAGGATCGTTGTCCTTGGGGAGCGCCGCGGAAAGAAGTGCGGCGAGTTGTTGTTGCTGGTGGTGGAGTCCTTGCATCATCCCCTCTTTGTATTTTGCTTATAAGGTTGGGAATTCGCATTGCTGGCGAGCAGTGTTAACTGGCCGTCGATGTGACGGTGACTTTCCGGTGCTGGTGGCGGCGGCGGCGGCGGCGGTGGTGGGGCGGTGGGGAATTGTGCACATTACTACTTTGTCACTGACGACGCAGCGGAGGGAATTCTTCTAATTCACAGGGAATTTCCTCCCAATTCTTTTTCTTTCCGGAGGGAATCAAAAGTAAACTAATTCAAATTATGCCCCAAGTAGTTTTCTTATTTACTTTATACCCTTTAAGGTTTGCTAATTTTAGCAACTAACTTTCGAAAAAAAAAAATTGATAAATAGGGAATTGCATATAAGCTACTAAGTAGAAACCACAACACGGGGATATAAAATCCCTAGTAAATCATGGTGTAGCCAACAAAAGGCTACTAAAGTAGTCGAATCCAAACAACTAAGTCCTTCTGGATTCGACTCCCCCAGTATAACTAAATAATTTGCAACAAAATTACATTTTCTGTGGGCATGCAAAATAGTAATAACCCAATCCTTACTAATCAGCTCCCGAATAACTCGTAAAAAGCCTTCATATGCACACGGTTGCCTAGCGTGATCAAAAATCATTGTAACGATTCCCTGGTTATCGACCTTAGCTTCAAGTTTCCTGATACCAAGGTCCCATACTAGTGAGATCCCCTGGAATAAGCCTCAAAGTTCAGCTCCCATGTTTGAAGTAATCCCAATATTCATAAAAAAAAAAAAAACCTTCACGCCATCTCCCTTTCGAATCCCTAATCACCCCTCCCGCCGATGCCAGCCTCGATTCCCCAATCTCTAATCCCGAAAATTTCTAACGTACTAGAGAAAGACTCTTTTTACCTTTTTTCACAACCATTGTAGATTTTAAATACTTCCTGCTCAAAAAAAAAAAAAAAAAATTATTGAACTAAAACTGTGTAATAAATTAAATTATTTTTTGAGAAAACATTGAATACTTAATTAAATAAAGGGTAGACAATAATCTAACAAATAGAATAAAACGCTAAATTAATATGAAAAAAAAAGAACAATAAATTAGTGATTTTCATTTCACCATTCGATGGATCACTTTTTTCAAATATTTTATCCAATAATTATTACTCGTAATATTATTTTTACTACAACGTACCATGACATGAACCATAGAAGAAAGTGGTCAGATAAGACAACTTTCTTTTTTGTAATCGGTGTCTCGAAATTCTTTCGCTACATAATTTAATTTGTGGTTGTATATTCTCTTTGTCCAGTTCTCAGGATTATTTGTTATGTCTTTGAGGACTAAATTGCTCGAAGGAAAAAAATCCTACGCTAAACTACTAATTATTCAAAAACTCAAGGGTATATATGTCCAATCAACCCAGTTTCTTAAAACTAAAATGAACCGCAGCAAGACCTTCGTAGACCGCCACCGGGGCTCTGAAAAAACTCGATACCTCCGACTTCACCATGGAAAAAGCTCACAAAACTCAAAATTTCCTCAAACCATTATTCGCCGTAGCTCAAGCTTATCGCACAAGCTCCGCGGTTTCTCTCTCCAAACTGGAAAAACCCATAAACCCGGCCCCTCCAGAAACCCAATTCTTAACTCCCGACAAACTGCTAGACTCTGTAAAAAGTTCTCAGTGGCATTTCATCAAACAGGTAAGTCCGTCTTTGACACCCAACTTAATCTTCCACACCATCCTCAACCTCCGCTCATCCCCCAACGTTGTTCACGATTTCGTCAATAATCTCATACCGGATTGCCTAGACTTGGAGTGTTATTGTCTCGCCATTTTGATTCTCTCCCGGATACCATTTCCCAAACAAGCTACACAGCTTATGAAGACTGTTATCCGTAATCACGTTGCAAGCACTAAAGAGATTTTTTATGGCTTACTGCGTGCTAGGAAGAAACTAAACATTTCGAGTTCTATTGTGATGGATTTGTTGATAAGAGCGTTGTGTGAGCTGGAGAAGTGTGGTCAGGCTTTGCAATGCTTTAAAATGATGAATGAGGAGAATATTTTTCCCAAGGTTGAGACTTGTAACGATATGTTGAGCTTGTTTCTCAAGTCCAATCGAACCCATATGGCTTGGTTTTTATTTTCTGAGATGTTTAGAATGAGGATCACTGGTACTTTGTGCACATTTAATATTATGATCAATGTGTTGTGCAAAGAAGGGAACTTGAAGAAGGCTAAAAATTTTATCAGGCAGATGGAGAGCTTTGGGTTCAAGCCAAATGTGATAACATATAACACCGTAATTCATGCCTATTGTTTGCAAGGGGATCTGAAAGAAGCCAGTGAAGTTCTTGACGAAATGAAATCGAAAGAACTTGAGCCCGACGTATATACGTATAATTCCCTGATCAGTGGCATGTGCAAGGAACGGAGGATGGATGAAGCAACTGCACTTCTTGTGAGGGTGACGGAATGTGGGTTAGCTCCAACAGCTGTCACTTATAATGCTTTAATCGATGGATATTGTAATACAGGAGACTTGAAGAAGGCTTTTGCTTATAAGGATGAGATGATGAAGAATGGAGTGATGCCTATGGTTTCTACTTACAATCCGCTGATCCATGCTTTGTTTCTTGAGGGGGATACTGTGGAAGCGGATGAATTGATAGAAGAGATGTCTGGAAAAGGGCTTATGCCAGATGCCATTACATATAATATATTGATCAATGGCTATTGCAGGCGGGGGAATGCCAGGAAGGCATTTAGTCTCCTGGATGAGATGATAAGTAAAGGCATCCAGCCTTCACGCATTACATACACATCACTAATTTATGTATTAGGCAAGAGGAATAGAATGAAAGAAGCAGATGATCTATTCGCCAAGATACTAAAGAGAGGTATTTCTCCAGATCTTATCATGTTCAATGCATTGATTGATGGTCATTGCGCCAATGAAAATGTTGAGCGTGCTCTTCTGCTCCTTGAGGAGATGGATAAGATGAAGATTCTTCCTGATGAAGTGACCTACAATACGATAATGCTAGGCTATTGCAAAAAGGGTAAAGTAGAAGACGCACGTGAACTCCTTGATAAGATGAAGGAACGGGGAATTGAACCTGACTATATCAGCTATAACACTATAATCAGTGGTTTTAGCAGGAGAGGTGACATAGATGACGCTTTTAAAGCTCGGGATGAAATGCTTAGTAGTGGGTTCAACCCCACTCTTCTTACTTATAATGCTCTTGTACAAGGATTGTGCAAAAAAGGGGAAGCAGATCGTGCTGAAGAACTTCTGCAGGAAATGGTTAGCCAAGGAATTACTCCTGACGAGAGCACTTACATTCCATTGATGGAGGTTATCACCAATTCCAATCGTGCATTGGAATAAGGGTTATAGGATTAAGTATCTCCTATATACTTTCATTTTTCTCGGGAATCTGTGATCATTAGAGAGGATTTTTAACGCTACCATGCCCAGGCTTTTGAAGTGATTTGAATTCTTCAAAGTCATATTATTGCTTTGTTCCAGCATCTGACATGTTGTTAGAAATTAGATCAAGCTATAAGGCATTGTGGGGGAGAAAAGAAAGACAAACATTGACACCTTTTGATTCTTGTCATGTGCTCATGGAACATAGGTTGTAAGGTAAGACTTTAAAAAAGCTATTTCACTATGGATGTAGGAGTTTACGGATTAAATTTCATCTTACCCTGGATTATCACTTCAGTAACCTTATTTTTGATCGAGTTGTGGCAAAATATGTTTGTTTGATATGATGTGGCTCTCTTAAACTCCTGAAATCCAATGATACATTCTTGACCCAACAGAATTTGGAGTTTTTTAGTGACTTCTCTTTTATAGTTTCAAACTGTTTCTCCATAGTTGATCACCTGCGCAGTTATGACTTTAATACTAATTCTTTTATTTTTTATATACCGATTCAGATTTGGTTCTTTGCGGCCAGGCGTCATTGGCCTAAACTGGACTATATTTAGCTGATTTCCACTCTGGGCAAACCAGGACCTTGAATTGAATGTCAACTATTCTGAAGTCCCACATGCATCTCTTGGTAATATTACTTTAGATTCTCACAAGTCCCTGTTTTCTGTGTTTAATTTTACTTTAGCTGATTTCTTACAAGACTTAAGGCCAGGAGACACTTGTCCTTAAAAAAGTGAAAACGTCTTATTTGCATCTTTTGTTAATTGGAAACAAATCAGTGTCCACTATAAGCTTGTAGGGTCCCATTTATTTTCAATTTAACCTTCTTGAAGTCATTGGGAGTCTTATGAAAAAGTTTGACACTTGTCTATGAGGGGACAATTGAAGAGCATTATCAGTCACGTAATATTTTGATTACTCTTTCATACCTCGTATTGTACTGTATTCTGCACTAAACATTTGTACCAACGTGAATTTTTTGTAATTTGCTCTATCCCATGGCCTTATCATAAACCTCTTCACTTCAGCTAAGAGACGCAACTTATTTGTGTTGTCTCTATTAATAAAAGTGGGAGTTTACTTTTGCATGGTCTCCTCCTTTCTTCAGCATCAGTTGGTTGTGGAATTTACATGCATCATGCACCAAACTTTTTGATTGGTGCCTAATATGCATTCTGAAGATTATTTTCTCAAGAATATTTTCAGTATTACCCCAAAAAGAAAAAAGACATACTCAACTATATAAGCCTTGCATCTCAAATGATATGGAAAACCACTCATATATCCTGTATCAGAAACTTCAATGGAAAAACTTTATGGACATCTTGCACCTGGTTCGGCCCTTGTTTTCCTTGGTTTCTGGCACACCTTCAATATAGTTAGAGCTTACTACATAAGTGGCTCTGTTAAATTTACAACAAGGTGTTGGTACCCATTCAAGAGTCCAGTTCAAAAATTGGAAACCTTGGAGCTCATCCTTGTCTTATCTTTCTCTATCTCTGCAATCTTAGCGCAATTTTTAGATTTCCCTTCTCTGCATTTTGCTTTCAGACTTGAGAATTTTGAGCATGCAACCATGTTTCTTCATCTTGCCATTCTCTCTGGTTTCAGTCTTTTTGCAGAACTGAACCATTCGTCTGAGATTGTATCTGGTGTTTCCAGGATCCTTGCTGCCTCTGTCTTTGGTCAAGAGCTTTTCTTACTCCATTATCACTCAACTGATCATATTGGGGTTGAAGGTCATTACCATTGGCTTTTGCAGATTGTTGTATCTGTATCACTTTTGGCATCACTGGTTGTAACTTGTTCTCCATCCAGTTTCCCCGCTGCGCTTGTTCTATCCATTTCGATTTCCTTACAAGGATGCTGGTTCATTGTTATGGGATTCATGTTATGGGTCCCTAAGTTTGTTCCACAGGGCTGTGCCACACAGTTAAATGTTGGCAGTAGCAGCAGCATGCATGGAGCAGTCATCTGCATGAACCAGGAAGCTGAATTCAGGGCTAAAGCACTGGCTAACTTACAGCTGAGTTGGGTACTTTCTGCAATTCTGATTTGTGTTGCTACCATATGTTTGGTATTTTCCAGAACCCCTGCACCCAGGGGAAAATCAACTGATTATGAAAAGCTTCAATGTGTGACCGCCGATGCCTCTTTAGCACTTACAGGCTTAAAGCAGACATCCCCATGAGATAGATTTGGGAAGTGAGATTCAAATAACTACCGCATGCATACATGATTATCAGTCTTGATTTTGAAGTTTCTTTATGTAGAATGTATAAATCAGGTGTCATCGTTTTATATATTTTGTTCATATGAAAACGCAAGTGTCAAACTTTGCGACCCACTCTGTAAAGTGGGATTTCTTTAGTCCTTTAGATTTCTTTTATGATCAGTTGTGATAATATGTAGCGTCAGCCTCCTATCCGTATATTTTGTGTTTAAAGCTGAATACTTTTTGAACTTGTGGACTGGTAGCTTTGAGTATGACCAATATCTGTAAACTTACCATATAGTAACTGAATCCCTTTTTCTCAAACGCCTCCAAAATCTAAATCATTACTTTTGCTGGAAAATTTTGAATCTAAAACGAAAAGGATTTAGGGAAGGGACTTAATCGAAAATGATGTGCAGACAGCCAAAGGAAAAAAAAAAAAGAAGCATTTTAAGCCTCGAGATCTTCGATCTATGAGTGTTGAAAAACAAAAATAAAAAATAAAATTGTCATGTTCTTCTTCAGTCAGTTTCAAGCAATGTTTAGCTGAGAAAAAGCAGAACTCCTTTACAGTTGCCTGAATGGTAAGTAAGTATAAAGACCCCTGAAGTGCATACATGGCGACTGATTACTTCACTGAACCTCTAAATCCAACTAAAAGAAAGAAGCCCTTCACAGCTAAACTAGGATTTATGGCACGATTGTCACCAACTGGAATCAGATGTTTGCTCATAGTTGTGGTCTTTAGCTTGGTGGGTTGCTTCCTCTTGCTTCGCCCAAAGACCAAAACTATCCCAAAATCTGTGATTCTTCCGGTTATGAAGATTCAAATGCCGATTCCAGAGTACGGTGGACTTCACGAGGTGGAAAAACTGGAAATTCCTACGTTATCAAAGAGGCAAGCCACAAAAACAACAAGCCTGGTGGATGAGTTTCTTGACAGGGATTCTCAGGTTAGGTCCTTTTTCTTCCCTGATGTTAGAAATGCCGTAGATCCCAGAAAGAAAAGGCAAAAGTTTAATTATTATCCCGGAAGAATATGGTTGGATACCGATGGGAAACCAATACAAGCTCATGGAGGTGGGATTATGTATGATGAGATGCTAGGAAAATACTATTGGTATGGCGAATATAAGGACGGTCCAACTTACCGAGTTAATGGAAATCGCACTGCCAGAGTCGACATCATTGGAGTTGGGTGTTATTCTTCAGAGGATTTGTGGACTTGGAAAAATGAAGGGATTGTGCTGAAAGCCGAAGAACAAGATCAAAATCATGATCTTTACAAGTCCAATGTTCTGGAGAGGCCTAAAGTGATCTACAATGAAGGAACAGGTACGTATGTGATGTGGATGCACATTGATAATGCAAATTATAGTAAAGCTGCAATTGGAATTGCTGTCAGTGATTTTCCAACTGGTCCATTCAGATATCTATATAGCATTAAGCCTCACAGATTCGAAAGCCGGGACATGACAGTTTTCAAAGATGATAAATACTGTAAAGCATATTTGTATTACTCTTCCATGCGCAACAAAGAAATTCACATCAGTCCACTCAGAGAAGATTTCCTTCATGTCTCAAATGTTGTGAAAAAGGTTTTAATAGGACAATACAGGGAAGCCCCAGCTGTGTTCAAGCACAAGGGATTGTATTACATGATCACATCAGGTTGTAGTGGTTGGGCACCCAATGAGGCCCTGGCTCATGTGGCCGAATCGCCTATGGGGCCTTGGGAGACCATCGGAAACCCTTGTGTTGGTGCAAACCAAGATTTCAGGGCGACCACCTTCTTTGCTCAGGGTACATTTGTGCTTCCCATGCCAAAGGGGCCTCATGGATCGTTTATCTTCATGGCAGATCGTTGGAAGCCAGATGACTTGGGCGACTCGAGATATTTATGGCTACCTCTATATGTAGATGAAGCCGGTTACCAACCGCTTCATAATGTTTCTAGGAGACCGCAGGTGTTGATATTTTGGCATGAAAGATGGAGGATGCCTTCCAAGGTGGGTGGCAATTAGCTTCCATGGAGTTTCAAGATTCAAATAACCCATATAATGTAACATCTAGTACACTACAGGAAAACAGCTTAAAAGGCACTACATCCCAAAAAGCAGCTCAGCAAAGAAATCTCAGAAGCTTGCAGTTGCATAATATAATTTCCGTATATTAATCATTCTGGCACCATGCAAAAAAGGATCTATACTTATTAAATCCATCAGATTACTTTCAAATGTTCAGTTATGATATTTTGAAGCTTAGTTGCATATGCAAATTGAGTGAGTTGTTTTTCTTTGTGATTGTTCTGAGCATGAGAATTTGACCACACAAGAGTAGATGCCAAAAGCAAACAAAAGGGTCATTCACAGTAACAAATGAAGGTTTAGCAGAAGAAAATGTAGCTTTCTTGCACTTACAATTACTATGTCACCAATATATGGGTTTAACTACTTTCTTGTAAATGAAATTCTGTATCTTTTTCTTTTGATACGCTACACATCCGGTGTCTGAAACCACTGCCCCTACTAATCTAATACGGATTCAAGTCAGATGGAACCTCGGTGTACCTTTTTCAAAATAGAATTCTAGACCTTTTTTTCTCTTGGTTTATACATTACACACCCATTGTCCCAATCCACGGCCACTACTAATCAGATTCGAGCCCGTTAGGTGTCCATCACAAGGTAAGATTTGTCATTAGAAAGAAAAGTCAGACTCAATGACGTAGTAAATGGCAAGCACATCATGATGCGTGTATTGATTGAAGAGACTTAAATGCTGCAAAGCGAGTGGTCTCAAAGTGGGGAAATATTCATCATCTATTTAGGCAATTATGATATTCACTTCACTGTCATAGTCACTTGGCGCTTCAAGTTGATGAAAATTGCGTATCAAAGACAAATAATAAACAAAGGAAAATGAACAGTAAGATTAACACTATTAGCAGACAAATTAAGGTTAGTAAATATCAAAGAACTTCCTGAATTGACTTCAGAGATTAGGTAGAAGTGGAGATTCACATCTCGAGATTCATGAAATTTACTTTCCGTAATCTGCTTACCAAGATACCAAAAAAGCATGTTATCCTTCTGTAAAGATTCAAGGCTTTGTAATGCCCACATTAGTACTAAAGAAAATGGCAGAAATTGTGCAACTGTTTCAGCTGTATGTCATCTCTACCATTCCAATCTGAAATCTGGATGTAGTTAATACAGAACCATCAGCAATGGAGACAACAATGTAGATCATGAAGCGAATCTCGTCATCCAGAAACAGATGCCTGTGGTCTGTTTCAGTGTTTGGCTTTATGGGATGCCTATACTGCATTCATTTACTCTTCATGATTAATCAATCCTTGGTATTCTTGCCTGATGAAACTAGCGAATTTCCCAATAATCATGATCACAACGACGATGTTGATCTTGCATCAGAGGAGGAACTGAAGTTTCCTACATTCTCATCAACCGGCCTAGCCACTGATGGTGGTGCAAACTTGTTGCAGAAGTTTCTTGACAAGGATTCAGAAATCAGGACGTTTATATTTCCTGACGCTACAAATGCTATCGATCCGAGGAAGGGGAATGATCAGTTCTATTACTATCCAGGAAGAATATGGCTGGACTTGGATGGGAATCCAATCCAAGCTCATGGAGGTGGAATTCTGTATGATAAGATATCAAGAAAGTACTATTGGTACGGGGAAAACAAGAATGGTCCCACCAAAGCTGGTCTCATAAAAGACCTTCCCAGGGTTGACATTGTTGGAGTTGGTTGCTATTCTTCCAATGATCTGTGGACTTGGAAGAATGAGGGCATTGTACTCAAAGCGGAGGAAACCAACAAGAATCATGATCTATACAAGACCAATGTTCTGGAGAGGCCTAAAGTGATTTACAATGAGGAAACAGGTAAGTATGTAATGTGGATGCATATTGATAATGGATATTACAACAAAGCCGCCGTTGGGGTTGCTATTAGCGGCTCTCCAACTGGTCCGTTTAGTTATCTATACAGCATGAATCCTCATGGATTCGATAGCAGGGATATGACAGTATTCAAGGACGACGATGGCACAGCTTATCTGTTTTATGATTCATTGCACAACTTAGATATGCATGTAAGTCAGCTAAGTCGAGATTATCTTCACGTTACAAATGTGGTGAAGATCTTAGTAGGAAAGCACAGGGAAGCCCCTGCAGTGTTTAAGCACCGCGCAATGTACTACATGATCACATCAGGCTGCACTGGTTGGGCACCTAATGAGGCGCTGGTTCATGTGGCCGAATCAATCATGGGACCGTGGGAAGTTCTCGGGAATCCTTGTGTTGGAGCAAACAAAATTTTCCGAGATGCTACATTCTTTTCTCAGAGTACATTTGTGCTTCCTATGCCAGGAGCACCTCCTGGCACATTTGTTTTTTTGGCTGATCGTTGGAAGCCAGAGGACTTGCGAGACTCGAGATATGTATGGCTGCCTTTAACAGTGGAGCAAGAAGCATATTCAGAATCTCCAGGTGATCCTGTTATACCAGAAGTATCAATCTATTGGCATAAAAGGTGGAAAATACCTTACAAGAGGAGCAGCAATGATTCATCTTCAAAGTTTCTCATACCGTAGTCTATCTAAAGTCATTAAGAAACGGTAATGTGGATCTTCAATCAGGTAAATTACAAATGATTCATACAATTAGACCCAGATAAGAAAGATAAACACAGCAGTGCTAGCTCCACTATTTGAAACTTCCATAAGGCAATAGAGTCACAGTTTAGCTAGTAACTTCCTGAGATCTCATGTGCAATTTTGGTTTCATTGTATGCAATAAGAATTCTGGTTAATGCTACTATACACTGGGATATGGTCTTTTACCTGTGACATCCAGCAAATAAGCATATGGAGGATACCAGTGACAGTGATTCTTCGTCTCGAAATCTCTCATACCTTCAAGCAGGTATAGTCAAATACTTTGAGCAATTACAGCACATAGATAATGCAATAAAGACTTAATTTAGGCTGTAATTTCCAAGGATCCAAGCTACAATCTTTGTTGTGTTGTATGTGAGAGGACTTCTGATGAAAAGAATTATACAGTGAGATATGCTTCTGTACATTGTGAATTCCTCAAACTAGAGTTAGGGAAGATAGTATAGTAAGTTTTCAGACAAAACAACAAGAATCTGAATGAAACTAGTTTTGCAAATTGGGTTCATATATCAATATCAAAACAATTCTACATCCAGCAGATGAGGAAAAAATTTTACAATAACAACGTAACCCTTAATCAAGAACATAATATACTAAAAAAAAGGCAAGCCCTTTTTTGGGTCTCTCTCTTATTCAGACTCCTCCACAGTTGCCTCAATTCGGAGAAGAACAAAACCTACTGCAACTCCAACTAGAACTAGGCCTGGAATGATGGCAGCAATCCTGAAAATCTCCGAAATAGCAGCACTGCAGGTTGAAGACAGAGCTCCACCACCACCTCTGCCTTTCTTGTTTAGTGATGGATCATTCACGGAGCTAACAATCTTGGCAAAACAGTGTTCAGTACTTACAGGAAGGCCTAATGAAACAACATTGTTTTGAGCCTTAAGTCCTCCAAATGAGTTCAACCCACTAATGTAGTTCACTCTGGTTCTGGGCATGGAAGCTTTTCCTGATCCAGCAATGGCTGCAGTGATCATGGTGGCTTGAGATATGGTTGCCATTGCTTCCTGACTAAATTTCCTGTACAAAAGAAAAGATTTTGCAAGCAAGAATTACGCAAAATGGGTTGAAGAAAACAAAAAAATTGGAAGATTTGCAGTTTTCTTGAAGACTAGACAGGATTATCAATTTACCTGTTTGGGGGGGTGGGATTGATGCAGAGGACTCAAATTTTGATTGGATACAGGAATAAAGAAAGGGTAGAATGAGACTCTGTATGGAGGGAAATGAAAGAAATTGGATAAGGTGGTGAAGGGATGGATGGCTGTGAAGCAGAAGAATATCGGATTGAACCCATTTTGTGACCAGGAAAACCATAACATTGGGCTTTGGAAAAAGAGGCCATTACACTTGGAAGAGAGTGTTCTTTTTTGTTGGGTTGTAGGTAGGGTGATTTTTTCAAAAGATATTATAGTTGGAGTTAATGTTACTAATAAAAAATAAGTACACAAATTAAACCAAGGCTATGACTTGTTTGCTTGCATTGCAGGAATCATCAGCACTCGGCTTACGGATAGTTCAAGTTCACACAGATCCTGAACTACTATCCACCACTCAAACACGAATTCCTTTAGAGGCATAGCAAGTTATTGCGAATTTTCGTACTTTAATAAATACGTTCTAGTTATGTAATATTATTAAGGTCAGTAGCAACAATGTTAGTGAATTACATGATCTTGCTTATGCAAGGCAACAGTGTAATAACTTAGGAACGTAATTTTAATATACAAATACCTTGTCAAAAAAAAAAAAAAATACTACACTGCTCCTAAAATTCTTGTTCGCTTTATTATACTACTTTCGTCCCAAATTAGAAGTTCAGTTTACTACACTGTCACTGTCCATTCCTAATAATTGAGACAACTGCCTAGATTTCAAATTAGAAGTTTGAACTGCTAAGATTTACAAGAGAAATACAAGTTAAAATTATGTATGTAAATTCCCACAAAATAAACAAAAACAAAAACAAAAATACAACAAAGTTTACTTTTACGTATGTATATCCATAGTCCATACACGTATCCTTATTTTCAATAATTTGGGAAACAACTCAAGGAAAATGAAAATGCTAGCAAAGTTTAGATAAATTACTAGCAGAACAACACCGACTTAAAACGGCATAAACTAAGCATATTTTTTTGCCAAAAGGCACAAGGGGATTCTCTTGTGCATGGTTGCTCCTGGTAATCCATCAGTATCAATATCTTCTGCTTTCATTCCAGGAGGCAATTCCCAATTGAAGGAATAAAGAAGTTTGGCAAGTGTAACTTTTGTAGTTGATAGCCCAAGGGAGATGCCAGGACAACGCCTTCTTCCAGTTCCAAATGGAATAAGTTCAAAATCACTTCCTTTGACATCAACATTACTGTTGAGAAATCTGTCCGGAATGAACTGTGTTGGATTTTGCCAATTTGTGGGATCTCTAGCAATAGCCCATGCATTGATGAAAACCATTGTTTTAGGTTCGATATCAAATCCTTCTATGTTGCAATAATCTAGAGTTTCTCTAGGCAGAAGAAGAGGTGTTGGAGGATACAATCTTAGAGTCTCTTTTATTACTGCATCCAAATAAGGAAGTTCTTGGAGTACTTCTTCCCATTTGCCTCCTTTCTTTTCTACCATGTCTCTAACTTCAGCTTGAACCCTCTTCATAATTGAAGGAGATTGCATCAAAGCAGTCATAGCCCATACAATTAACGCGGAACTTGTGTCTGATCCAGCTATAAATACATTCTGTGAATAATAAAACATGTGAAAAGCCAAAAGTTTAGATACCATTTGATGACTTATGGATCATTTTGTTAGAACTCATTAATAAAAATTTTTAAAACAAAGGAGAAGTTAATTACCATGAGAACTGCCTTGATATGGTCCCAACTAAGATCCAAATGTGAGATTTTTTCTTCTTTGATCTGAATCAAGAGATCAAGAATATCATTCTTCATCGTATCTGGCCTATTTGAGCTGAGGTGCTCTTCAATGAGCTCTTGGTAGAACAAATCCAGGTTCCTACAATTTTTGTCCAAACGAGCAATCTTGCCTAGAACCTTATCAATCCATCCTAAAGAAGGCAAATAATCAGAGAAGTAAAAATCCCCATGTATGGATTGAGTTTCCTGTAACAAATGATCAAACCTCTTCTTCTCTTGATCTTCTTTATCATATTTCTTCCCGAAAGCTATACGACATATGTAACTGCTGGTTAGATTCAATGTCATTAAACTCAAGTTGATAACTTGAGATGAAGAGGTCAGATCGAAGATTTCCTTGATCAAGAGGGAAACTTCATCATCAAGAATGGGACGAAATGATTGAACCCTTTTCATAGTAAAGAGATGAAGAAGACTAATCTTTTTCATCTCTCTCCAATACTCACCATAAGGTGCAAAAACAATGTCTAAACCATTGTAAGAAACTTTTTGCAAAACAATGAGCGGTGGCCTCCCAGAGAATGTGAGATCATGGGTTTTTAGGGCTTCTTTCGCCATTTTCGCCGAAGAAATTACCAGAACTCGCACCTTTCCAAGCTTCAAAGACATTAGAGGGCCGTATTTGTTGGAAAGTTTGCTCAAGAATTCATGAGGCTTTGCACTATCAAATTGATGAAAGTTCCCAATGAACGGCAAGCCTGGAGGGCCAGGTGGACGATGGATACTTTTCGTTTTCTGGGTTTTTTGGTGATTAAAAATGACAACTAAAGGAATGAGGAGTAAGAAGAAGAAGCAGAAAAACCATGCTGCCATTTTCTTGATTAGAAGCTAGAACTTCTTGTAAATTGCTCGAAGATGGACTAGATTAACTGATGAGTTTGTTTCCATGCATTCACGAGTTCTTAATGATATATATAGAACTTCAGAACTCCTCACATATTGATCAGTAGCTCTGCGTCATCATATATAGAACGCCAAATTTAATCATATACAAATTATTCAATCATCTAGTCCTCAATTTAGCCTCTTTTATCGCCAAATTCATGCTTGTTTTTCTGGTCATACAGTATTCATATAGTAGTGCTATATTTCATGCTGTTCTGTTCCTAATTACTTACTTACATTGCTCAGAAGTCAGAATCTTTTAACGCCTAATTCATGCTTGTTTTTCTCTCTTTTCTTTTTTCAGTATAATGAAGGTGGGCCTTCTTTAAATACTCACACTTTATACACTTTCTAAGTGGACTTAGAACCCCTCATTTCCTATCATATATTACATATATTAATTAAAAGGATGAGAACAATTACCCTTCGAGTTATGTTCCAAACATAATTACCCGACGTTTTATATAAGGACCAAACCCTCCTTGACCGCCAATCAATAGACAAAATAACCCTTCTGCACTAGTCCAGTGGAAAATTAGCTATGAATCGTGACCGCACAATTCCTAACAAATTAAATGAACATATATTTTTATTTCAAAAAAGTGAAAAGAACATAAGCAAGCTAATTGTCCATGAACAACTCGATCGTACATAGAGATTAGAGACAGCTCCAATGAGATATAGTTGAAACTTGAAATTGATACATGTATATACAATATCTTTGCGCTTTGACCTCGACTTATTTTTACGTTGCAAAACGAACATGATAGTTTCATAATGATTATTATTACTAAAAAGATATGACGGTGCATATGAAAAAGAGTAATAACAGATGACTCACTCAAATAACTCACTATTCTAACTCAGCTGATGTGTGCAATCCACCTCAGCCCCTCTTATTAATTTTTTTATTTAGAAAAACAAATAGGAATAAAATCAAAGCCATGTTTTTCCCCTTCCCCGATCCTCTTGCAAACGCACCGCAATTGCTGAGTTAGGAGGATAAACTCCTTGTCAAAAGCCAGTCTCATCATAGCTTCATTCAGCCCTCAAGAAGTAATGCTAGCCTTATTCGCAGTCACGTAAACATGACAAATTAGATTATGTTGTACGGTACAAACTACAAGCACAAACTATATTCAAAAAGCCAGTTACAGATACTGCTATTTCAAGCATTGCCTTTCGGTCAACTAACTATCGCCCTTTCTCTTAAATCTTTGCTTCTGAGTTCCTCGTCAAGCTACAACCTGTTTCCAACTGCCAATAGCATTTAAACCAGATATCGGTAACCTCCCTCATACTGAACCATCTCCAACTACCAGAAATAATTCCTCAAGAAGCATTCCTATAAATTTTTTTCCCTCATATCAGCTAGGAAATCCTCTTCCCAAAATTCCTTAGCATCAAAAAAACCAAAACTTTCTCATCTTCATACAGACAACACAATTGCTGTGACAGATTCAACCACTACAACACACATTCTAAAGCAAACTAACTAGGATTACACAATGCATAAAAACAGCAATTTTAACCATCATTCATCACTAATAAACACATACACAACTTTCAGGTGCAAAAAGGAGGAAACCAAAGCCGGGGAACAGATGTGCATATGAATTAGAAAAATCCTTATGACATAAATTCTCCAAATCCCTAACATCTAAGTTTACAATCCATTCTCCCTAAAAGACTAAAACCATACAAAAATTCGATCAGAGTTATACACCATACTCAGCCTCAAATTAATCAATCTACATAAAATTAAGAAAAAGAAAAGGCACAAAACAAAAGAGCAGTTTTCAGACCTCCGACGGATGAATTCCTCAAGCCACAGCTACGGGCTGTTGCTTCGAAGGTTCGATAGTAGTGTTCTTTCGACCGGAATCGGAAAAATCCTCCATATTGTAGATGACGGTGATGTAAAGAGAGCAGCTAGGGCACCGAGCGATCTCTTCGCCGAGACGAAGGTCTTCCTTGGTAATCTGAAATAGGTCGCCACAGGGGCATGGATATGTATAGGCTTGGAGCTCCTCGTTCCACTCCATGTCTTCGATCTCTACGTCGTCGTACGACATCTCCGATGGACGATTTTGGGGGTGGGTTTTACTGGCGGAGATGAGATCGGCTTCCGTCAACTTATGCGGCGGAGGGCGGCTCAAATAAGAAGCGCCGTACGATATAAAAAATTAGTCTGCGTTTTGGTTTCTACAAATAACCCCTCGCCGCCTTTGAAGTATTTATGGAATTCTATACCATAATTTGTTCCGAAAATTGTAAGATTAACTTTTAGAGCTTAATTGTGAATACGGAAACAAATGTTTAAAAAAAAAAATTGAACATATTTTCGGGATTAATTTTTTCTTTACTGAGAAATAAAGGTAGGTTATAAAAACTTAGTTAAAATTTCATTTTAAAAGAAAAATAAAAAGAAATGGTAGATGCCAGAAACTATACAACCTACTTGTAAATGACCAAGTGAAATTTAAAAAAAAAAAAAAAAAAAAATCAACAAAATTTTTTTTTGGAGAATTTAAAAAATATGATCAATTAAATTTTGGAGAAATTTTTATCAATTCAAATCTTGTACGTGCTTTCTATTCTTTTAACAGGAAGGAAAATTCATCTTTACTCCGTTTTCGTGAGGAGATCATTATCGAAAAATAATTTGATTACCTCTCAAATGTTATACACCGCAAAGATAATTATACATCTCATATATTTCACGAATTCTAAAATGGGTGCAAGTGTTAGACAATTTTGGCTCATTTAAGAAACATTTAAAATAATAAGAATTCCTATTGAAAAAAATATATATTTATTGTAAAAATTTTCTATTTTGTTAAAAGATATTCTCTCTATTCTAAAATTATTGTCCAATTTGAATTTTATTTTTAGTAAAATTTGAATTAATACTGAAAATTTAAACTGAATAATAATTTTGGGGAGAAAGGAGTACTAATTTTAGGAGGAGTATCATTTTTAGCGCAAATTCGGTCCATATTGCTTGTTAAATCCTCTCTATGAGGGTTGGCCGTTTCACTAGGCCTTATCCTCAAAGCCCAAACAACTTTGCCTATGTAACTTAAGAGGAAAAATGAACTTGGCCCATTACATATGGGCAATTTTTTTGCCTATGTAATGAAGTCCTCAGGACAGAATCAACCAGATAAAAATGTTTTCCAAGCTGAAGTATTCATCTACTCGCAAATAAGTCAGGAAAAATAAAAATCTTTACAACAGAGCTGTGAAAACATACACAGTACTCAATAATGCAAATAATTAGTCTTGTAATAAAGGAGTTAAACTAGTGGCACAGATTGATTTGTTACAAATTTAAAAGGACTTACGTTGTAGCTCAACTTAAAGTTCCATAACATCCAGAAGAAAAAGTTGCAGAAGATAGAGAGATATGTTGATCTTTATCCACATCAATTCTTCTGCTGAGGGTGATCAGAACACGAAAACCCGGAATGTCCTCTCTCCAACAAGCTCAAATATGCAGAAATTGCCGATCTTTAGGTTATTTCTGCGAGCGAATTTGCCCCAACCTCCAACAAAGGTGCACTGCTTGTTCCTAACATTATATGTGTAATTCACTTTACAAGATTTTTGACTCTTTGCACTGATCAGTCTTACTACTGTCTTATTCCTTCCCAAGTGTTCCTCAGCAAACTCTAAAGGAATGCGCTGCATCAGATCAACACACAAATTAAATTACATAGTCTATAATATATTTGGAAAAATACCACAGCATTCTTGTTTATCAAATGTTAGGACTTAGGATTGTTTCTCTTAGATCAACCTAAGCAGAAAGGCCTAAAAAACTCCAATATTCAAGTCAATAGGTAGAAAGAAGACAATGAACTAACAATCATGGGTGATGTTCAGGAAAGTATAGGAAACTAACCAATGTAAATGGATTAGCGACATTGTGACGCCGCATCTGTTTCTCGAAGAGATCATTTCCACAGCTTGATAAGAAAGACCTGATTCTCTCCTCCCTGTCACCATTGATTTCTTCCTTTGGGTCTCGGGCCTCTCGGCCTAAGTTTTGGACCCTCGGGCTTGCATCGTCTTCCTGATGTGTTTCTGAGGCGGCTGCCGAGTAATCCCTCTCCAATCCAGTGTCCTCAAATATTTGGACAGCTAGTTCTGCATTTCCATCATATGTAAAGAACAGGAAGTTGTTCTCCTGAAGCGAGTTATCTTGTACAAATTCCTGCCAGCCATGTCTCAGAAACACATCATTCCCAGTTTTGACTACTCTAACAGGCCAAGGACCCCCGGATTCGCACTTGAGGACCATTCTATCAGGCACCTTCTTCAGATATTCATTCACAAAACCTGGATTGATTTTCTGCAGCAAATGAGAACAAGCAGTGTTGAGTGACAAGTTCCAACCTAATTTTCTGATCAAGCTTTTATGGCATCAAATAGCTAGGAGTGACTCTCATGTCTAAATATGAACAAAAACTGTTTGCACTTTGACAATCAAAGTACCCAGCCACTAGCAGACTTTGAAAATATGAGTAACAAAACACCACAAGAAACCAAGAAGTACATACTTACAGATCAACAAAAGTCCATTTCAGAAAATGAACCAACCGAATACGAATAACCAAGGCCAATACCAGAAAAATGTAGCAAGGCAAAAGCAAAAGAACAAGTCTAGAAGAAACAGCCGGCTGATCCGAAGCGGCAAAAGCCGGCAGATAGTTGTGGGCTGCTGATACAGAGGCGACCAATTTTTATAACCAAACAAAATTTACGAGTGGTGGAATGGAGTGATCTTTGGGGACAGAAAACTAGTTTTCGGGATCAAGGGAATTCATGGCGGCTCAAAACAATCAGTAACAAGAAAAGCCATTGTTGTAGAAATTCAGAACTCAAAAATTCAGAAAACAGAGGTATCAAATATTCAAATCACTAAATTACATGGCTAATCATATCAAATCAAATCACCAAAACAGGCTGGAAATCTTGAAGTAATTTACCAAAACATGCCAAAAAAAAAAAAAAGATACCTTTTGAACAAAAGAAAGAAAGGAAAATACCAAAATGAACAATTCACTTCTTCGGTGTTACGTAATGTAAAAATATACTCCCTCCGTCCCATAATTATTGTCCAGTTTGGGTTTTCACTTTTAGTACAATTTGAACTAAAAATGAAAACTCAAACAGGACAATAATTATGGGACGGAGGGAGTACATCACAATATCACATACCAATTCATTTCCATGCAGTTTAGGGGAGAAAATCCGGAAGAAGCATGAACTCTCAGCCATCCTAGACTTTGGTTTCACCATTTTTCACTTGACCTTCCTCTTCAACAGAAAGTTTTTGGGGATGCCGAAGACTTGTGAGGTTGTTTGCTAAACGAAATGGCAAAAGTAAAAATTTCCAGTCTGAAGAAGAAGTAGTTGCTCCTGTAAGTAGAACTGATGAGAATGGCTGGCGCGTTCAGCGAGGCGGAATACCCATAATTGTTTCATTGCAACCAACTTGAATGTGTCAAACAAAAATAGGAGCAATGATTTAGAGTTGAGTATGGTCTTTGATTGTGCCAATTTGGAAATTGGATGGTGCAATATTGATGATTCTGCAGAGAGATTCAAATTTTGCATTTGTTCATTTGATGTGATATCTCTTTGGAAAAGAGGAAAAGAAGCTCCCTTTCAACTATGGTTTCCAATGTTACTATAAACAGGCCATGGTCCAAAACTCAGAAAATGACATTGGCTTGACCTTTCTATCTCTGACCTTAAGACCACTTTTGGCAACACCAAAACGTGTAGGAATGCCAGTATGATCAATAATCTGTACTACTACTAAACAACTGGTCACCAAATTCCCCAAACTAGTTTATGATTATTTATGCATTCACAAAAGGGAAGAGACAGTAAGTTGGATGATTGAAAGAAAGTAATTGGTGTGCGTCTTCTGATTAACAATTGGCGCCATCCCAAGTTGCTTCTTTTCATGGCCTAATTAAAAATTTAAAAAAGGAGGAGAAAAATAGTCATTAATCTTTTCTTGGAAGGAAGCCCACGTATTATTTGACCTCGTAATCTCCTAAAACTTCACCGTCATGCTGTCCACTTGTCCCCAAACCCCAACCCCAACCCTTTTGTCTTAATATTACGGTTACCGATTCTTGTTATGACCAAACAACATACGTTGAATCTCTAATTAAATCAATTTCAAGAAACCCTTTTTTTTTTGTGGGTTTTGAAGAATATTTGATCATTATTAATTTATAAGCATCAATATTCTTATTCTCTTGAGCTTTGATTACTTTCACACAAGCTTTGCGTTCCCGGTAAAGAATTTTTTCATCTGCTTGTTCTTTAAGATGATATATGACATGTTTAGAGATTCAAACATGGTATTGTGGATTTATTCGAACAAGATTTGGGTCGTTTTAATAATATTTACATATCTAAGTTGGAATTCCGTCTGAACCAAATCTTTTGGATAGCATTGATTCCATGATCATGATCTATCTCTTGGATTGAAAGGCCTAAAGGGGTTATTATAGTTGTGGGTTCAGATTCTTTTCTTGCACTCAATTTCTTCCTTTATTGTGTGATTGATTCAGACACCCCAACTCTCCTATCTACCCCCTTCTCTCTTCATGATCATGGAATTTGAGTTTTCTCTGTTTTTGTTGGTTCATAATTTCATATGATGGTGTTTTCCTTTTTGTTGGTTAGGCGACAAAATACAAAAATTGGCTGAGGCAAGCAAGGGATCAAACCATTGAAGGATGGCGATTATGTTCACAAATTTAGTATTGATGATGGTGTTTTTGTTTTTGGGGATCAGGGTTCATGCAGGGGATACAAATCCAATATTTGACCCCTGTTCAGATGCAAAAGTTCAGAGATTTGATGGTTTTTCGTTTGGTTTGGCATTTTCTTCAAAAGATTCCTTCTTTTTCAATCAGACCCAACTTTCACCTTGTGACAAACGCCTCTCCCTCTCCGGCAATAATGCTCAATTAGCCGTTTTCAGGCCAAAAGTTGATGAGATCTCTCTGCTCACCATAAACAGCAGCACTTTAAATCCAGTAAGTACTCTTTTATACCTGATCTATAGAGCTGGAAGAAACTTCACATTTCTTTTTCTTCATTATAATGGTGGATTGATTTCACGAATCTGTAAAACAGAGCATGGCGGGTGGCTACATGGTTGCATTTGCCGGAAGGCAATACGCAGCTCGATCGAGCCCTGTTTTTGTAGCAGATAGTGCAAACACCGTAACCAGCTTTACCCTGGTAAGTTCATCATCAAGGCAGTTTCTTCCTAATATCTTCCTGTTACATGTGAAATACTGAATTAGTACAATTTTGTTTGGTTTTAGGTCCTTGAATTCCAGAAAGGTACACTTCAAAATCTGTTCTGGAAGAAGTTTGGGTGCGATGGCTGTTCTGGAGAAAATTTTGTTTGCCTGAACAACACTGATTGTGCAATTCCCAATTCCAAGTGTAACGGCAATGGAGGGTCGATTGACTGCAACATAGGCATACAATTGGCATTTTCAGGCACGGACAAGAACGACAATGTGTTCAATTCGTGGTACGAGGTTTCAAATCTTCGACAATATTCACTCTATGGCCTCTATTCAGGTCTTCGAGATTCCATCACCAGCCCATTCAAAAATCTGTTCTAGAATTTCTAGAATCATACGACTGTGATGATACACGTTTAGTTAGGTTTACACTTTCTTCACATGAGCTGGTGAAACATAAATGTATACACATGACACGATGATGAGCTGAGTAGTTTGCCCAAATCGTCGTTGTTTGTGTTGTATGTTACTTGAATTTATGGGGCAATGCAAGAGTTGATACATTATAACTTATAATTTATAACTCCAACATCAATTCATGCAATTTTCAATAATAAAATTCGGGATGAACTGCACAAGTTCCAAATAAATGGTGAGGTGTAATATGCATTAAAACAGAATGAAATCTAAAATTGGATTTTCATTAAAAAAAAAAATGGTAATATTTGATTGCTAAACGCCCAGCACGAAACTGGAGAGACTAATTACTAAAATTGGATTTTCATTAAAAAAAAAAATGGTAATATTTGATTGCTAAACGCCCAGCACGAAACTGGAGAGACTAATTACAAATGATGATAAATAACTGAAAGCTTTACAGTCCCACCACTCATGTACACCACCTAAAGACTCCTTTTGTACACCTAGTATGCACATTCTTACCATCCATCACTAAGTTAAAGATCTCACAAACAACATTTCTGGTATTGTCTATGTATCTTAATTGGGTTTAAAACCTAGCTACCACGTTACAGTAGGTAGGAACTGAACCGTGACAAAATTGGGCCTAAAACCAAAAAAAAAAAATTTTAAAAAAAAATAAAAATGCCCCTCTATAATTCAGCACGCATCTTCTCATTGATTTCCACCACGAGATCCCGCAGCTCCGGGAAAATTGACACAATTACGAGCTCAAGTATTGCAAAGGCAAGTTGCTTCAAGCAAATGGTGGACTACAATTGGTAGTAGAGAACACCGTAAGGACCTTCGGAGCAGTATGTGTAACAGAAAGCAAACCTCAATAGTAATTCAAATGACTACTGTCATGGAGTTTTACCTGAAGGAAATAATATAAGTCTCTAGCACAGCGATGGTATTGCTTATGCCCTATCAAACTGACCAATGCGGATGGGGCACCATCTGTAATTTGCATTGGAAATTAAAATCTTCAGTAATGAACCAATTCAAGCACATGAGAATCAACTAGAAATAAAACTAAGAACTATAACAATAAACTACAGATAAGAGGGGGAGGGGAATGTGCCCGTAAAACCATCAAAATAAGCATTTTGGGTTTAGTGAAGAAAATTACTTTTTCACCTTATATATTTTATTCACATCCAAAACAAGGTATTAATTTCATGGCCAAGTGAAAAATGGGTGTCAATTCCTAAGCCAAAGAACTACACAAACAGAAACCTAGAGACATACTTATTGGGAGAGAAGGAAGGAGGGGGGGGTGGGGTACGGGGATGGGTAAGGAAAGGTGGCCGAAAGAACTGAACACGATGTACTCACCAAAGAGCAACTTCTTCACATCACTGGCTCGGCGAGCAGCCTCAAGCTGTTGCTCAAAAGACCCAGGTCTAGAGGTTTTACTTGCAGTTGATTCAATTTGGACAGAGCCCTCATCATCCATTCCACTTTGAATACTCAATTTCAAGAAGAACTTGCCATCTGGCCAGAGGATCTACAAAAAAATATTTCCATGAAAAAAACATTAGAAAGAAAACTTAATTCGTGGGGCCTTTAAAAAACAAATCAACCTAACTACATAAATGACATAATAAAATGAACACTGAAGCATGTCTTAAGTCAGTGTATTTGCGATATGAAACCACTTTGTACCCCTTATGACAGGCTTAAGTGTTATTCACACATTTAACGGAAATGTCTTGACTTCTAACAGATTCTGTGGAACTGAATATTCAACAAAATAAATGCTAATCCTGTGACATAATTGTTGGTTTAAAAACCACGAAAATTATCCCACATCACCAATTTATCATCAGAATACTACAAACTCATAGCTCCTTAAAAGGTTTTATATAACACTTCCTTTTTTTTATATACTTAATACTTTTTTCATTAAAAAGGTTTCCCAGAAAAAAGTTTCATATAAAATTCAAAAGATTTTTTGAATTATTCATAAGAACTAGTAAATGAAGGACCTACGAGACTAGGAAAAACAAAGTTTCAAACTGAACAAATGATTGAAGACAGACGAAACGTCTTCATATTTCAATAGTTATGCTTTCAATCAAAGCAATATAGAAACCAGGAGCTCTTGCTCTTCCAGGCGGCCTTAGTGCATTGCCACATTTTAAAAAGGGATAGTGATCATTCCAACAAAATTTGGTCCAACAACAGGACATTGTCACAGAGCCTCACGGGCCATATTTTGCTATTCTTCATGTTTTATGAGAAAGGCAAGTTACTCACCTGTAACCCAAAACTTCCCAAGGTCATTTATACAGTGCTCCCATGAAATGTAAAATGTTTGAGTAAAGCAATCACAGCACGTAAAAGGGAAAAATAATTTAAACAGATACAATCATGAAACTAGCAACTTACATCCTCAACCCATCGAATACCATAAGCAACGACATCATCTCTGCGAAGCCAATGAATTTCTCTCAAAAGCCAGTCATCAATGGCATCCTCCATCATTAACTGCAAAATTTGCTTTGATATCCAGAACACCTGTCTTCTGCATTAAGTGGAAAATAGGTTGTATTAATCATAAAATGATCTGGCAACTATAGCAAGCACTACTCAACTGGAACCGGAGTTCACCAATTCCAACTCACACAATCGATGGGATGGTTTGAACAATAAGATAATAGATACTTTCATTGCTCATGAATTATTCCTAATACATAATTGGGGATATAATAAAAAGTGTGCCTTTAGGAACAGAAGGTTATAAGATTAAATACACCCTCTCCAAATTTGGAAAATATAATTAAAAAAAACATGAGCGGAAACAAGTCATCATTCGAGACATGGATCACGGACTCATGAAACAAAGAGCGGAAATTCTAACCAACAAAGCATTTCCAAGTAGAAAAGCAAAAGCTAATGACAGATGATTTTCTGGTCAAATTTAAGATTTACCTTAACCAGCCTCTTTTCTTGAGCTGGAAAATGTTGTCTACTAGATTCAACATAGGAAGACTGAGATTCGGAGGAGTCCACTGCAACAAACAAAACAGGCAGAGTAAACAGAAAAGATAGAATGACTGCACTACAAAATATAACAAAATATTAACTGAAATGGATCAGGTAACAGTAGAAATCTAAATTTTGTAGATACTTCATAGTCGCATTCAGAAAGTCATCCTCTTGATTCATGCACTTAAAATTTAAGAGTGAAACATATATCCATTTCGCCCATGAAAAGAAACTGTTACACAGGGAAACTTAACGTTCCTTTATCTCCCCTGCCATGTTTCTCATACTGAGTTCCTTGATAAGAGATAACTATCATATGGAAGGAGGATAAAGCAAAAGTTTAACCACATGCATACAAGATATTTGGAAGTTTCAAAAGCACCAGAAAGAAAAAATCTAAATTGAATAAATTCTGCATTACCTCTGGCGGCACCCCTACTGGATCCTCCAGATTACTGGATGCAAGTATCAAGCTTAAGTCTGGAACTTTACCCTGCCCAAGAGGTTCTGAAAATACCGCCGGACCATGTTTCTTCTCAACTTCTAAGTTTCCAAAATCATCATCACGTTTAACCACCCGTGGAGGAAACCCTTTCGTATTTAGCTCATTATCTGAGTGCCAACCATTAGCTTGCTCACTGGATTCTGCTTCTTCTGTGTGATGGCCATCCTTATCAACTTCGTCATTATCAGAAAAACTGTTCACTGACTCTGAAGCACTTTGTGTCAAAGCTAGCTTGTTCATATCATCTGCATTCCAGGAAACATGCCTGCCAGGAACTGATGCCGCTAACGCAGGATCAAACAAAGAGGAAGGTGAACCAACAACTTTCTTCATGAAGCCATCAGAAACTCCTTTGAACTGTCGCACAATATCATCCATGGCATCATCGACATTAACTGTTTTACACAACAAGATTAGCTACCATATAGTCCTAAACAATAACCAAACATACAAATAAAAGTCTCATTAAGAAATTCATATAATGTGTTGTTTAAAAAGACGTGGTCCCCTAAAGCCATCAAGTGGATTGTCAAAGCTGATAAAAACCATGACATCCCAGCCTCACTTCAAGCAGCCCTCCTACCCCAGTTTAATAATAGACTCAACTTCTAACAAAATAAGTCAATCACACAACCAAATAGTTGACCCACAAAGATAATTCTGTAAAGCTCTCATTTTGTCAACAAGATACACAACATAGAAGAATTTACAATAATTAAGTGGTACAAAAGATAGCAAAATAAAGGCAGCCATATGATAGTACTGTTAAAGCAAAGTGGTTTTCACATAGTTCTTTTTTTATTATTATTAAAAAAAAAAAAACGGATGGCCCCGGTGAGAATCTAACCCTCGGCCTCCCGGTAATAACCATCCCCCATCCTAATCCCCTAACCACCCCACCCAAAATACACTATCTTTTCTTCATAAGCACCGTAAAAAACTTCAATCCTGACTCAGTCATAAATAATCCTCATCGTCGACAAGGTTCCCTTTCAGAAATATGATAAGCTCCCTATTTATTATCTTAAAGATCAAATGAGTAATCAGTTGAAATACACAACAAAAAGGAAAAGTATCATACCAGCCAGTGTTTTCATCACGGATGGTGATTTTCCAAAAGAGTAATTCTGCCACATGAGAAAGAAAGAAAAATTAATTTCATGATCTACAATAAGTCTCTACAGATTCATTGTCCTAATTACTAAAAATGAAGTATATACATCTATATCACCTTTGAGGATGCACTCAGAAAATCCCAAACTTCATGTTGTTCAGCAACATTTGCAATTGACAATAGATCCTGTTATAAGCAGCATGATCAAATGACATTACAGAACATTGAAATGTGCAGCAGAATGCAGATATAGAAACAGAAGCATCGTACTTGAAGATATTTGTCAAGCTGGATACAACGCTGATGGACGAAAGTATCCTCAGTGCTTGACGAGAAAATTCTCTTAGGAGGCAAGTGTAGTGTATAGTTAGGAATATCCTTTAGCTGTCGATGCAATCTCTCAAAATTCCGGTACCTGGACATCAAGGACATGGAGATAGAATTTAAAATGTGTATTTAAAATGTGTACTTTCAGCTATCCGTTGCACAAAAATAATAAGTAAGAATGTCAGGATGATCCTGTACTAAAAGGTAGAAAACAATAAGAAACAGGAAAAAATTTATATGAAAAAAAAGGACACATTTTACCTTCTTTTCACAAACCAAGTGTTTTTATCAGCATCAGTCACTGCTATCGAATAAACTGCAAAAGATTTTGATGCAATTTTCTCGAAGTATGCACCAACAACCTGTAGTAAGAAATTATATGTAATGTGAGCCTACAAACAACCAGATGACAGACATTGAAGATAGGAAATAAATGATTTGACCTATCCCCAACTGGTAAATTAAAGAGATCATACCCGGCACTTGAGCTTTGGAGTAAGCCCTGTCTCGCCGTGGACTACCATATCAAGTCCAGACTTGACGCTACGAACTTCATTATGTCTAGAAGAGTTTGGAATATAATAATCTGAAATAATTGTTCCACCAGTACTGGCAAATTGATCTTTCACCTTTGACTGAACCACCAAATCAGAAGTGCTGTTTGATCTTCTAAGCCTACCAGAAGTCTCAACTCCGCCACTAGTACTTGCATCAGTCCCTTCCCTGGAAGATACTTCTGTATGGAGACTACGATTACCAAGCCCAGTGTCTGCATTAGGCTTTGGCGGTAATTGCAACATGCTTCTCTCCCCCATTGAGGTATGTGATTCAGACTTCCCAGATAATCCTTCATTCCTACTGTCTTTTGTGAGCATTTCTCTGTTTACTGAACCAGTGAGTGCAGGGGCCTGAATTTTACCAGGAACATTACTTTGGAGTTTCTTTTTGTAATTTCTTCCAATGGCCCACATATTTTCAAGATTTTCAGGCGTCAAAACTTCTGTTCTTCTCTGGGTTGCTGCCTCAAGGGCTCGGGCCCAATCCCCTGACCTTGAATGAGTAGGCTCATCTGTGACCGTATTTGAGACAGAACCATCTTGAGTATCAAAGGATGGCAATCTTTGCCTGTCTATTTGCAAAAATGCCACATCCGTTCCTTGATTGTTTGAAGCTGCACTCTTTTTCCTGACAGATTCACTAGTTTTAACAGAGTCTCCACCAAAAGAATGATCCTTGTTTTGACTTCCAGCATTTATAGACTGATCAAGACCGCCCTCTGCCAAGCCATCCTTTAGGGCAATCAAAATACTTTCAATTAATTGATTAATGTACCTGAAAGAAGGGAAGTTTAAAACTTAACAGGTTTTCCAGTTTATGCAGAGTTAAAAGTACCCAGCAAGGTGAGCAATCCACAATATTTACAGATAAGTTCTTTTAAACGTTGCACATGAAGATATTACTCTTAACTTTCCCCAGTTAACAAGAGAAATAGAACACGTACATAAACAAAATAATATAGAAAAGAAAAGTAGCATCAACATGTTATAAACCCATTTTATACGCACATAGAACTGTGCATGTTACAAAATATTATTAAAAAAAAAAAAAACCAACTCACCATGGACTGGCCAAGTTCAGAACTGGTTGCATCACCAAACAAGTTAAAATCTCTCTGGCAATACATCGAACAAGGGGACACTGGGATTCCCTCGGTCTAAGCAACACGGCTAAGACACCACCCATGAGCCGTTGAAGATACTGTACAGATAAAAAGCATTATATTACAAGAAACAAAAAGAATCAATACTGAAAAACCTTTTCAGAAACATGCTCCAGTAGTACCTTGTACTCACAGTCAGCAGATGCCAAAGCAGGGTGAAGCTCCTTTGAAGCCAATAGATGATGTTTCAATCTGTCATCCCTTTCTTCAGAAGATAAAGTGCCCATAACATCTACTCCTATTGTCGCCTGGTTTCGTCTGAAAAGATCTATGTGATCACCTACAAGGTCTACAACATCCCTGAAAGTTTGAACAAATACAAAGAGGTGTCATATATTTACTAACACACTCTGCAAAGGGCTGCCTCAAATGTTTTATGCTAACTGGGTATCATGGATCTGCGAAAGGAAGGAAAAGTTAAAATTAAGGGCGAGGGCAGACCTAGTCAACAAGTCAACAAGATTTATCTCTTTGACTCGTCCAGACACTTCACCAAGGGCGTCCATGATTATACCATGAATTAACTGAGGTGCATCCTTATCAGGGGTTATAGAAAAGTACCAAAGATCCACAACAAAATCCTGCATAAGCTTGTTTACAAAATCCTCTATCGCGGCCTCCACAATGGGAGAATCAATTTTCCTCTTCCATTTAGGCGGAGGAGGTGAAGTAGAAAGGCGGGAATCATTAACGGACAACTGCTTCTTTTCCAAATGCGACAAATATGTAGGCCGCGGGCCTTTTTGAACCTTCCAATGAAACTCCACCTCATTTAACAAAATCCGTAATCCAGAAACTAAAAGTACAGCTATGGGTATGTTCATCCACATTGATTTACTAGTGTCTGCAATGAACAGGGAATCTGATAAACATTCTAAACAATAAAATGTATCTATTACAGACATCACACTTAATTAAACAAAAAACGTCAAAACATATTTAAAAAAAAAAAAAACCCACAAAGAAGATCATCTATGGAAATGCAAGTTGCGAACCAATTTAATGTGGTTGAAGTAGATAGATCATAGAACAAAAAGCTAGAATTCAGAAAGTTACGACCAAAGAACATAGTGAGTTATCAATTGAAAAAAGTTCCTGGACCTAATGCAGTACATTACACCTACTGCTATCTTGGTCAGAATTATACTTCAGCATGTGCAATAAACTTCCATTAAATTTTAACCCATTGTGAGACTAACTCACATATTTGATTGATATGGACTAGTGGTACTACTTCATCCAAGAGCTCTACTTTTCCTCAGCTACAAACTTGGTTATCTCAATTTTTCTAAGTATTTTTCTACCATATCATTAAACTCTTGCAAACCCTTAGTAGGGACAAGGATTAAGGCAGTTCTTACAGCATTGTATCAGTCAAAATTTAATCACACTACAAAATAAACATAATCATAGCTTCCATAAATGGAATTAAAAAAATTCCTGCCAACGGAATCAATAAATCAAGAGCTAGAGATAGCTTACGTGTTAAGAAGTAAGAGACAGCGAATATACAAAGTGCCCACCACACTGTCCGAAGCTTTGCTTCTTCAATAAGATCTTGTATAGTCTCCATAGGCTTCATTTTTCCTACCTTCTCCAATAAGGAGAACACAAAAGCCTAAAATTCCCCCCAAAAAAGAATTAACTATATCACATTAGCATAAACCTAATTTAAACGAATCCCTAAAAACTCTTAACGATTCACAAACTCAACGATTGAATTTACGAAATCCAATTCACTCGAATATGATGAATAAGGACTAAACTGAAATTGCTTTCAGCTTGATGAAGTAAAATGCAGAAAATCGGTGTACGAAGTGAATTCGTGATCGTGTGAATCAGCAGAGATATATATATATATATATATATATATATATATTTTTGTAATTCCAGCGTGATGCTTGTTTCTTTCTGGGTCCTTTTGGAACAGAGGAGAGAGATGGTGGAAGGAAGAGAAGGCGTTAAGAGAAAAACGTGAGAAAGGAAAAGCTGAAATCGTCGTCGTTATTTCTGTGTACACGTTATAATTTACAACCATTGCATTATAATTTACATTAAATTTGGTGTAGAAATAGAATATTCTAATCATCTTTATCCATCAAATTTCTTTGCACTCCAACCTTAATGCACCAAAAGGTCTAAATGTAAAATATTTTTAGTTTAAATTTTATTTTGGTGGTTGATTAAAATCTTACCGTTTAATTTTAAGTTGCTTTTCATTTAATTCTAGAAATATGAAGTTTTCTATTTTTATACATATTCAATTCTAATAATGACAAAAAATAAATTTTATTTTAAAATAAATTTTTATATTCAATATGGATCTTATTTTGTAGATCTCAAAAAAAATATTTAATATGATATAATTTTCACAACATAATTCATTTTATAAGTTTAACTATAGAACAAATATGTAATTAGATCAAAATAAAATATAGTACACAAAAGATAGTATAATTGATAATTTACACCATATTTAGTGCAACATTATTCACTGCACAAAAATAGTGCACTGATTTGGTGTCTTCATTGAAGTGCAAAGTTTACACCAAAACACCAAATTTAGTGTTTTGGTGTGTTCGTTGGAGATACCCTGACGTTTTGTTACCCGTGTTTTACAACCTCGTATCAGCAAGTTTCTCCTTATTTGAACCGAATAAGAAAAAATGCTTTATTTACTTTTAGAAAATCTCATGTTCGAATAAAAAAAAATATATAGATTATATTTGGATGTGTAATGATTACATTATTTATTATAGAAGTACACATTAAAATTCAATCCATCAAATCTAAGATAACCAAAACCAAAATAACCAATTTAGACCAAAAGAAAACTTTAGAATAATAATTTATGTAGAAAAATTTTAACTTTCGAGGTTTACACATTTAAAGGTTAGAGGATAGTTTAATATTCATTCACATTATTTTTTGTGAATTTTCTTGCCAAATTTTACCTTTTTGTATCACTACTCAAAACCTTAATGTACAAATTTTTAACAAAAGTAAAAATAAAATAAACAAAGGAACTAAAACAAGTATCAAATGAGAGAAGGGATGTACAAAGAACAGGCAAACCCTTATTGGTTGTATCTTATAGGGACATAATTAATCAATTTCAAAATATTAGGATGAATTAGCACACTGATGTAACCGTTAGGATGTATTTTTATGGTAACAATAGGCATTTCCGCTATAAGTACATCCAATAAGCCAAAAGTTGTTAAATATTAGTATTAATCACTCTATTCATCTCAAAATTATTGTCCAGTTTGAAAATTTCTATTATTATAATTTATACTAAAGATGAAAATTTCTATTATTATCGGTTTTGGGACATAAGAACTTAAGAAGTGCTCCTTTATGACTAATGCATTAAATAAAGCGGGTGTATTTAAACAGATTCATCTTGCATTTAGATTCACGTAAAAAATGAACAATGACAAGTGACAACCTTACTAGTGAAATTCAGGCACAAAGATTTCAAAGATGTGTACTTGTATTTGAAAGAGTATGGGGATTACAATGTTCTAATCTTGGCTTCGGATTGTAAAATGGATTGTAGAAAGAAAAAAAAAAATCTCCCTCCATTTCAAAATTGTTTAATATAATTTTTTTTTTTTAGTGCAAACTGTTATTAATATTAACAAAAAAAAATCCAACAAATGACGTGCTTTATGGTTTTTGCCGTGCTGCTGGAATGCAATTATTAGATTTGGAAAAAAAAATAAAAATACAACCAATTATGTAGTAATAATAATGATTAGCTAGGAACTATAGGGATGACGATTAATTATCATTTATCTAGTAGTATTTGCCTTCCCAAATGACCCACAACTCATGCACGTTGAGATGATGTTATAGGTGTCATGTTCTGTCGGGATATCAAAACCAAACTATCCATATGATGACATCGTACAAAATTTTGCACACAATAAAAATTCGAATAATACTTTTGTTTTGAAAATAAAAAACCTCTGATGTTTTAATGGGGAAAAACCAAAAACGATAAAACATTAAAGTATACTGTTTGAATATTGTAATAGGAATTCTTGGTTAATATCTATCAGGAGGGAAAATTTGTGCTATTTTGCTTCTTAATTTTTTATTTTATTTTTTTTATTGCTTTCTTCATTACTCTTTTTGTCCATAGTTGTTCTGTCGTAGTAGGACTATTGTGTCTACAGTTTCTAATTCATTTTCCCCTGCATTCAACATCTACAACACAATCATATGCTTAATCATGGGGAAGAGAAAAAAAAAAAAAAAAGACAGTGCAAGACGGTGGAATAAATTCTTTTAAGAGTCCAAAATGGTGAGGTCGGGCTCTTGCGGCTTAATTTTAAATAATTGAGGCAACAAATATGAGTGGGATTATTGTGTTGTCGGGAGATCAAACTCATACAGAAGAAGATGGTACAATAAGACCATGGTCAGATCTTCCAATTGACATCCTGAGCTTAATATTGTCCAAACTGTTTGCTGGGGATGCAGTTGTGTTCTCTTTAGTGTGTAAAACTTGGAGTTGGGTATCAGCAATCGTCACCAGAATCCCTCCTCCGCCACATAGTGATGGTGAATTATCAAGTTGTCCGTGCTTGTTACTCCGGGACAAGTTCTTCCATCCCATGTACAATGCCTTTTTCCGAATGGACGTCGTCCCGAGATTGCCAGAAGGGGATATATCTCGTAGCTAAATATGGTTGGTTGCTAATGGTACAAGGAAATTCTAGTATTTTCTTTTATCATCCACTCACTAGTGAACGGATAGACCTTCCTCCGGTTGAACTTAATACGTTTCGGTTGATTACATTTTCAAGTCCTCCAACCTCCCAAGACTGTGAAATTGTTAAGATTATATGTGACGGATATACGACTAGGGTTAAGAGAATGAAACGAGGCGATAGGGGAATTATCAGCAATTTTGAGCCGTCTCACTGTCACCCTGTTTTTTACCGGGAGAAGTATTATTTCATGGGTTCAGATGGGAATTTGGTCATTTATGACTCTTAAGGGAAACAAACACCGTAAGATAAATCCTCCCAAAAAGCACCTTTGCCCACATTTCTCTGCAAGTGATTGTCAACGTTTCATGTTTGAAGGAGAAGGTGGTCTTTGGGCTGTTTTCATAGCGTATCAAGGCAAAGAGTTATGTGTTTGTAAACTAGAGATGGCCAAGATGGTTTGGAAGAAAGTTTCTAATTTGGATGATAGAGTGATCAAACTTTAATTGATTATCAATCCTTTCCTTTTACTTTTTGCATTCCGCTTGACATTTACATTTGATATTGTTAGTAGTGTGAATTATTTTTTTTTTCATCAATGACTACTGTTGTTAGGTCTCAGGTCTCAACAAGCAATTGCAATAGGTGATCAAGAGAAAAACTCAAAACAATTTTATTACTTAATCAATTAATATCAAAGTTACTACAATGCTATCTATTACAAAGCTTACCAATCTTGTTGCCACAATTTTCTGAACTACAAAGTGTTTTTCTCAATACTTCGATCACAAACTAAAATCTTACAAGCTAAAAGGACCTAACTAACTAATTCCTTGAATAAAAAAATGTATATACGTTTGATGAGCGTGTGTTCAGTGAGATCTCACCGCTTACAAACTTATCGATACAGATGGTGCACATAACACATGACTTGACTCAAAGCCAACAGAATGCATAGCAAAGAGGTCACCAACATCAAAAGGATTTCTCAATCTCCCACCACCCACTATCAACATCACCAAATGCGATTAAATCCAAATCCTGAATATCATTCTTAGTCATATCTAACATTATACAGTCATCCACCAATTATCTCAACACAAGCAATCTCATCAATATCGGAAACTAAAGATTTCTTTTGAATCTTGCAATACAACAGTGTTACCTCTTTCCTCTGTTTCTGCTGGGCTCTGAGGATGAGGAATCAGCCTCCGTAGTTGCACAAAATTCTTCTCCAGGGCCAGATTCAAGAAGTTCCTTCATCTCGCATTGTTCTGCTTCCACATCAAACCGACGGAATAGCTCATCACTGAATTCGGGCCATGTCAACTTCATTTTAAACGTTTTCAATACCTCATATCAGATTTCTGCTCAACCTACAAAAAACAATTCCACCCGGTCTACTAAAAACAATTCAACCATAGGGATGGAGCAATAAGCACCGTGGGCGTGGGTTTTCTTAGTTGTTTGCTCAGTCATCGACAGTTTACCTATCTCTTCTTGTCCGATGGTTATTACAAAATCTGCAATTCAAACCCTTGTAGTTTTATAACTAGCTTGGGTGCACCGCACTTAGGACAAAGTTACCCGGTTTAATGTAGCACTATGGAATATATTGAAATCCAAAACCAAAAGCAGATTCAAATAAAGGTTATGATTTTGTAATGTTAATTGATATTCAGAATTCGGGAGCACTACTAAGAATTTTCATTCAACACAAAAATATCCTCTGTTTTCCCCTGAAGACAATTAATTTTGTACTGAAGAGCTACTTGATGTTACAAAAGAAGTAAGAGGCAGAATCATAGTTTGTGAACTCGGTATCAAGATTACCCAGAATTTCTTCTGCTCTATCCATAGTAACAGAAGCAGGAGCTTCAAAAGCATTAGTACCGTTCCTGATCATTGGTATCCTTCCTGCTCTATCTATAACAGAGGAAGAACCTTCAAAATCATCTATTTCCTTTCTTATCAACATCGCAAGTTTTCTGCTTTATGCAAGAAACCAACACAAAACAGGAACAAATTGGTCAAACCGACTTCTACATCCATGTTCCATTTGGGTGTACAATCTTTAAACAAATTTCAGGCAGATTCGTATTACCGATTAGTCCTCGTACTTCTGCGATGCCCCTCTCGGATTGCCTGTTT